CCCCAATGCTGAATATATAAGAATTACATGATTTGTATGGATTGTGAGAACCCCAGTGTTCAGTCTCTGAGTAAGGGAACTCCTATATTTTACACATGACTCTCTCCCATCAGTTGCAGGCATTGTACCTACTTAGCTCTTTTGTATCCCTAATCCTGGGAAAACCTATGTGACCTACAACTGGTTCACCTAACACTAAGTTAATTAATTTTACAAGCAGCATAATGACAAGATCAAATATATTTATCTTAAAGTAATTAATTAAAATAGACAGATAGTAGATAACTATCAGTACTTTAAGTACTTCTATATACTTTAATTTAACAATTTATTTAATTGCTTGTAATTACAGTTGTTGATGCTGGCTAACTATTTGATTATTACTTATAGAGTAGTTGGAGCAGAAAATTAATCAATATAATCTTAAGCTCTCAAACATCTATAATTTTAATAAAAAAGAATTTTTTTTAGACTTCTGTCATATTTTAAAGTAATTAGTTTTTATTGAAGCTCTACAAGCTGGAAAGAATACTGTCACTCAGAATAATAGTCAGAAATTTCTCTTATTGCTCTGCTCAGTCTCTACTGAAGAAATTATACTATCTCCAGCTCTTATTTATCAGAGTAAATTACAAGATCTCCAGAATACATAACTAGATAATTATAATAAAAATAAATAAATCTATTTTACAGCTTCAACAAATGGTTAAAGCAATAATAAATATAGACTGAAGTAATTAAAACAGATTTTTAATCAACATATTAAAAAACAAGCTGGTTGAGAAAGATATCTGCTTCTACTAAATAGGTATTTCTTTCATATAAATATGAAATTTATTGAATATGCTAACTATAAAAAAATTCTTCTTATAATTCTTCTGCTGCATTTAATCTACTATTTGCAATCTCTTGATATTGGAATCTTTAAGTTGTAAGACAAGATATATTTTAATAAGCTGGAAGCACTACTATATCAAGAAATAAGCTATATTTAAATAACAAAAAGCAATTTCTGAAGATTATTCAGTATGACTTGAAAGAAGACTTTGATAGTTAAAAATATACTGGAGCAGGGTACAATGGGATGCCTTGTCAAGGTAGGTGAGTTGGTTAATATGGTGAGAGCACAAGAAAGGTGAAAAATCACAATATAGTAAGGGTATGGTTGAGTAGTAAGTGTAGAAATAGATATGTTCTAACAGACACCTAAGCTCACAAGAAGTAATAGCACTAAAGAGCCCTGTACTAATACAGGCAGCTCTAATGAGAAAGAGTAGCAAGTTTCATGAACAAGAAATCTTTATATTCTCTAACTAATAACCAAACTGGTAGTAAGGAACAAGTGTGTAGAAAAGAGCAATGGTGCATGAAGGTAATAAGCAAGATGCAGGGGCTACAGGTGGTTTATATAGCTCAAGAATAGTAGCTTTGGGGTAGTTTGCGCCTCGGACCGGAACAACCTTTGTCCTAATGAGGTACCGGAATCCCCACTACAATACTTGCTGTAAGGATTCGCCGCGAACCCCTTACACAGATAAACAGCATCTGTGAAGACCAGAGGCCTCAGCTTGCAAGCTGCTGGGAGTTGCATGTGTCCTTGTGAGGCACTAAGTCACATGCTCGCGAGCACACATAAAAGATGATCACTGCGCGAACCCCTTGCTGGGAGCCAGTGGCAATCTTGTTTACAAGTCATACATAGTTGCCAGAATACAGACCTTTTACCTTGTGTACTCTTTTTCCCATGTATATTCCTCCTAGAGATTCATTGTCACGCTGATCCACACGTACGATCCTCACACTTGCTGACTTTACAAAAACTAAGATTAATTCTCTGGATTCTCAATATTAATTATACTGATTTGAAACTGTTCAAGCCTCTATACTGCTAGTTAAATCTTTTATTTCTAGCAATATACATCAGCTCTGACAAGAAATCAAGAGTATACATCTCTAGTACAGTCTAAATTCACAGAGTATTGAACAGATTATTCAAGTCAGTGAGTAGTTTGCTCTTTATAATAAACTGCTAGAATATGAGAATCAATAACTAAGATCAATTCTAGTGATGAAGAAGCAACACCACAAGCAAGACAAGTTTCTAGATCTACTTAATAAGAATAATTCTAGTTAAGCACAGTTCTAATTTTTAATAAAAGTTCTTAAGACACACAAGTGTCTGAATGAAATAAAGCCTGAAAAAGCTGATAAAATTACTTAAATATAAGAGACAAAACTTCAACAGAAGCTTTAAAAAAAGCAGACTGCTAGAAATATTGAAAAAAAAATAGATTAAATAAAAGAATGTCTGTAAAAAAATCTGAAAGCAATAAGAGACTGAAAAAATTAAATATACTAGATAAAGAAAGATACAACATGTTGCTTGTGAGAAGAAGAAGACTTTATAACTAGTAGAGAAGAAAAAACAAATAGTTAAATATACTAATAAATACTAGCAGTCAGAACTTTAAGTGCCAGCTTCAAAGCACTGTCAGAAGAACTCTTCTACTAAAGAGTCTTATTATAAAAAGTCTATACAATCTTCTAAAAGAGAAAGTAAGAGCTCTACAAGCATCTCTAGCAAGATATTCAGCTCTCTAGCTGAGAAATCTACTGTTGACATTTCTTTGAATTCTTTTCTATCTACCCCCTAAATCTCTCACTCTGGCCATAATATTAGGCCATCCACCTGTTTATTTTCCTAACTATACTAATTTTTATGCTTTAAAGAATACATTCATTTAATATTTAATAGCTATTTAATAATAAAGACCTGGTTGTTGAGATATTTAATAAATTCGTTGCGTGGAGCATTTGGCGAAATTTGGCTTGTTTAGTGGTGTGGCTCGTTTAGTGGTGAACTACCTTACCTTCTGAATTGTATTTTGTACATCCTGCCTATTAGTTGTTAAGTACCTACCGGTACATGTCTACCCAAGATACTTCTTACGCACGGAGATTAGCATTTGCTGATACCACAGGTAGAAATCACTAATACTAGTTTGCTCTCAACAAAACATTATGGCAGCAATAAGGACAATGATGATTCAATTCAGTCTTTGACATGGAATAGCGGATAGGTGCCTCTTTTGGACACCAAACAAACAATACTAGTATTATTTCACCCAGCCCTGGGGTTTGATTGCCCCAGCACAACACTGAATCTGCCACTTCTTCAATGGGTTAGGCAACAATATACTCCATATTTGTTTTGCGATTATCATGGGAGCTCACCTGACAAGGAACGAGCCTACCAGCCATATTAGGTGTCGTATCTCTGACTCGCGGATGCCGTTGTTGTGCAATTAAGTCGCCCAGGGCCAGGAGATGTATGCGTTGGGATTGCTATCAGGGTTAACAAGTTGTTTGTCCAACAGAATTGCGCCTGATGCATTTAGTAGAATAATGCTTGTCAATGGATGCTCTTTCCGTCTGCAAACCCAGGGATTGGCCCAACATGAGGTCAAAACTTATTATAAAAGCTGCGTTCCCTTGCAGTTGAACTTGAGGCATTCTAGCAATAGCAGCAGCAGAACTCATACAAGCAGCTTTTCAAGGATCTCCTTATTCACCTCGCAGTGATCAATTCCAACTTTTCGACTTCGCCTCTTGCTCAAGAATTCAACTTCTTCATCATGCCCCAGAAGAAGAAAGGCGGGCATCACTGGTACGTCCTGAGTACTGACAACTCAGTGCCGAGGAACTTGCTAACTCTGCCAGTGCCTATTGTGGGAAAGTATTTACCACCAATTGCCGCAGAAAAAGAGCACATGATCCCATGTCCAAGACATCCCAACATATACATGCTGCCGGGCAGGGAATGCGAAACTTGCGCCATCGAGCGTCAGATGGCCAAAAAAAGGGCGGCAGAAGAAGCCGCCAAAAACAAAGACAAGAAGTGACAAGGGCCTCTCGGCGGTTGTCTGGGATCCAAACGAAGTCCGTCGTTTACCATGATGTTTCGGGTTCCCTATGCAGAATTTGGGCGGGAGCAGAAACGGATTTGGGCTTTGTGGAAGGGGCGAGTGATCTGCAATGGCAAATCGAGATATTGCACCAGGATGTTGTGGTGGATGGTGTTTGGCCCTGGCCTCTTATCTGAGCAAGAAAAAACTTCCTTGCTCTCAGTTTTTGTTCATGGTGATGTGTATCGATCCAAACCAATACGTCTACTTACCTATGGTAGAGTTCGTGGTCTTGCCAGAATACACGACTGAAATACTGCATACTCGTAGTCATCCATGTCATCCGTGCTACAAGGAGCAGGCGCTTTGATGGCAAACAAAGAGCCATGGAAGAGCCCACAAACAATCGCAATGTCTTAGGAGAAAGTCTCAAGAAAAACTGACAGAAGAACGTACTCGAAATGGAGATATGTTTACAACCCCTAACGCCGGCCTGTTTTCTGTTGACGCGTCGTTTATGATTCGCGCATCGGACGCGTCTCGCGCCGACTCTCCGCGGGCGGAGCGTCTTGGCAGCGGAGCGGAACAGGCAGATGTCGACATCAAGCATCGAGAGGGATAAACAAACAAAATGAAGAGCTGCTGCGGACGGCGCAGAAAAGGATGTAAAAGGGACCTGAGAGCCCAGGTTGGACTACTAACCTTTCAAGCAGTCAATCATCAGCAACTTTCTATTGGACTCCGGCCCTCTACCCTCTACGGTGAAATCCAGCAGCCCCCAAAAAAAGTTGAAGACAAAACTAATTCTGAAGAAATCTCTTTAACTCCGTACAAAACTTTATTTATTATTTAGCAGTAAACAATCAACCAGCGAGTCGCCAGCCGGGTCGGCCGTCCGCCCAGATCTGGTATAGCCCCCGTTCCGGCGGGTCATCTGACACCTGCCACGACACCTTTCCCCAAACCAGCTTTGCTTAGTCATGCGACCTTAGATTTATCAGGTGATACAGCTCACCCCTCATGCACGTGACCCGACCATCACTAGTTCGACCACCGTAGCCTTCCTACCGAATAGCAGCAATCAATCCGCTCTATCAAGCTTGATGTGGCCTGACAGCCAACCCACTCCTCAAACTTCCCACATCAACCTGCTTGCATTACCTTCGTAAGACGCAATTTGTGCTTTAAATACTGATGGCTGGAACTTAATCCCTAAATCAGAACAAGCAACGACCAACAACGCTTCCAAGATGCCGATCGATCGAGCATCCTGGAGGAACGTCTGGCTATATGAAGCTTCGACTGGGAACTTACTGGGAGGGGCTCATCAAAATGGCTCCATGACAGAAGCGAATCTTCTGTCGATTCTCGAGGGTGTTCTTCTTGTTGTTGATGATCAGTGGAGTGTGAAACATCGAAGTTCTGGGCTTGCAATTGGATCAATGAATGCACCCCTTCAGCCGGGCGAGTACGAAATTTACTGCCAAAGTAAGTCATCACTCACACAAACAATCACAGTTAATAGGTGTTAAGTCCCCCTTCAGGCTCTATTCGCGTGAACAACGAACCATGGGTCGCTCGACTCATTAGTCACAGCATATCCGGTCGAGTCGATGCATTTCGTGACGGTGTCCGCGCGCGCGATGGAAAGTGTGTGGTATCCGGCATTGTGAACGTTCGGGCCCCGTGGAATACGTGGTCTGGCTTTGAGGCAGCCCATGTGTTTCCACTAGACTGTGAAAGTGTCTGGATCGAGTTCAATTACGGGCGGTGGATTACAGACATGGACGGCACAACTGGAGTCTCAAGGATCAATTCCATCCAAAATGGATTGTTGCTGCGAGGTGATCTACACTCAGACTTTGATAACTATTTGTTCTCAATCAACCCGGATGTAAGCTAGTACCCTGGAAACAAAACTAAAAGCAGGCCATTCTAACAAATATGGAACAGGACGGCTATAAAATCACCTTTTTCGGTCCAGATCCATTTGGACTGGATGGTAGGACCCTGGATCCTGTTTGCCGTAACCCACAAGACCCTCACTGTGTCTCTGATACACTGTTGCGTTGGCATTTCCGACAGGCAGTTCTAGCAAACATGCGAGGTGCGGGCGAACCGATATTCGAGCATGATTTCCCGCCAGGCACGGATATGTTGGCTGAGTTGCGTAGTGAACCTGAGCCCTATGGAAAGCAGCGTTTTGAGATGGAGATGTCTTCAAGACTAAGAAATGGTGCACCTAAATCAACCTGACAGAGTAAGAACAACATGTGCCGGTTCTACAGAAATGTGCTGATAAACTATTTCACAAGCAGAAATTCCCGCGCGTGGCCACTCATATTTCTGGAGTCCATCATCTGATTCTGCCAAGAGGTTTGGAGGTGCAAAGGAAGTGGAATGCAGACGCGCAGAAATGCTGAAGTCGCTAGGGATTTAGTTACATACAGCACATGGCTTAACATCTTGTGAGAGCACATGCACTTTCAACAGCCTGTGAGCTGAGGTCCTCAGCCCTTACAGATGTTTGTTCATTCATGTAAGGGGTTCGCGGGCGAATCCTTACAAGCATTTTCAGCAGAGAGTTTTGATTTTGCTTTAGGTATGTTGAAATTCTGAATGAATTTCTCTAACACCTTTTTCAGAGTCAACATGATATTGGAATGGACTTCCTGTAAGGTTTAGAGCCGATGCTAACAATGACTATTGGTTTGTAGACTTACTGTTTTGGGGCTTGACAATCAGATAGCAACAGAACCTGGCTACAACAGTCCTACAGTGCCGCGGGAGGCGCCCTTATAGTAAGCCTGACTGAAAATTGCCTACATTACCTGATAGAAGCAGGACACGGTGCGGGGTAACTTGCATGACCCAGTGTACAGCATGAAGAGGACAATGAAACTGCTTATCAATATTCTACAGGGATGCACTTAAGGAAACGCCTTCTAGATATCCATCAGATTACCCGATAGGCTGGCAGGCCCCGACTCCGACAGTTTCCAAGCTCTTAGTGCGTCTTTTACGCCATCCTTGTCACCCGCGGCGTCTATGACCGAACTTACTAGATTACGCATGGTTTCCACCTTCGCCTCGAAATCTTCAAGATGTACCCAGCCGTCACTGGGGACTCCAAGGGCGCCAAAGAGATCCCTGTGATCTTCCCAGCTCTTCCCTTCGGCAACATGAGACGCAAGCTCATCGGCGCCGAATGTCACAGGACAAGAGGACTGTGGCTGGCCAGTTAATTCCATCCATTCGCGCCATGTTCGAAGCATCATCTCTCGAAACAAAAACAATCCATCGTCATCCCATGTGTACCCTGAAAAATCGATGAGCTGTTGTCGCGTTAAAGCTTGAGGAAATGACAGAGCAGAGAAGACGTCATTGTCAATTTCGCAGAATTTGGAAATATAGAGCCTGTGTAGTTGTGTAAGCTGGTATCTCCGTAAATTTTCCTCTTTTTCTTGTGGCGTGAGGCCTGTGGCTGAGGGAAGGTCGAAAAGCAAGGGCCCATGAATTTTCAGGAATTTTGGTATCCTGCACGCGTGAAAAGCGGGAAGACTTGAGCAGCCTTGCCAATCAATGATGCTGACAATCTGATTTTCCTTTACAAATATATTCCCAAAGTGTAAATCAGAGTGCCAAAGTACAGACCGATTTTGACCTGGATGTGATGGTATCAAATGAGGCACAACTTTCAGATACTTGTCGAGGAGTTCAATGTGACAATCAGGAGACTCTTGTCTATCTGACTGTCTCAAGGGGTCTGCTGGATGACGAGGATTTGCAAACCGGGTGATCCATTCTTTCTCTCGCCTGGTGATATCTATCGCATACGCCCCGGACGATGACCCTAATTTTGCTCGGTCTCTTATTAGTTGGATCCCTAAAATTATGGTTAGGTGGTTGATTTACAAGGGCCCCTAAACGCGCTCATGAATCTCCTCTCCTCCTCCCAAAATCGTATATCACAGCTGGGGCCGATGCAAAACTGATCAGCTACTCCAGGGACATTGATGCCACCTTCAATATCCTCTCTATAGAACAAGCTTCCATAATAACCGAAGTCGACAGCGGCTATTTTGGCTTGAATATTCGCCAACTGAGACACAATGTCCACCTTATCCGATATATCCATAGTGGGCCAACTTTTGCTCAACTCATTACCAGCAGCTTTTTCCATGATGATATATTCGACTCCCACAGGCTGGTCTTTCTTGCTGCTCCAAGCAAAGACTCGCGGGACAGGTATACCGAGCTCGCTACGAAGAAAGTCAAGCGTGGCAACTTCGCTGACTGTAACGAAGTTCTGAGGGATGTAAGGATTGGGGATTTTCGCAATGACCTGGACGTCATTATCCATTGTCAATAGAAAGGTTTTGTTGTATGACCCTTCGGGTAATTTTGTTATTTTGACGCAGAATTCCGCATTAACTGATCTGGCCGCTGTTTGTTTGAGTTCCTCGACATTGAAGGGCTGGTACCGTTTACGAAGCTGGGCTGCCTCGTCCCATAGCCAGCGCCCAGAGGTAAAAGAAAAGAGAGTGTCGCCTCTATGTTGATCTGAGTGGATTATACCTTGAAAAGACAAACTCAGTAAAACCAACCAAATTTATCTTGACGAACTTACCGGGATGGTGAGGTTTGGAGGTTCTCGAGGGGGAAGCGGAAAGGAGTGTGTGATGAAATTGGGGTAGTGTCGCCCTTATAGCTCTTCTCAGAGTTTTCAGAGGCGCCATGAAAACGGCTTGAATAATCTATGATGATGTTATATTGTTAGGTATGTGGTGACTGCCTCAATAATCACCCTGCAAGTGATGGATTGCTGAGACTTTGGGCGTCCATGATGCACGGGCCGCGCCGCGGAGAAGTTAACCTGTTCCTCCAGCCAATCGCCTTTCCCATCCTTGCTGCCTAATTGGTCCCGGCTCGCCAGCTAATCCTGTTTGTCTCATCTCCTCCACCTCGTGCCTCATTGCCACCTCGCTGAATGTTTACCTCACATGGTCCATTCTGAATGCATCCACATCAGCGCAGTTGTGGGCTGTGCGGTATATTTGTCGGAATGGGTAAGCCTCCCCCCTTCCCCTTTGAAACTTCTTCTAATTTCAACTATAGAATAGAATGTGTACAGATTCAGAGTTGATCGATAAGCTTCTTCCCACCCCGATCTACACCGCAATTTGTGCAAGGCGATTGAGAGTCTCCAGTCATGTGTGACTTTGGAGGAGATAATTAAAAGTCTTGATGGATAGGGAATTCGGCGGTTCCATTTGCGGCCTGAATGATATTAAGGCTCCTCCTGCGGCATCAAAAGCAACACTATATCAGGCACAGAGCATAGTGATGAATATTGTTATATTGGCATAGCTCTCATTTGCACACATTTTAAGGGAAATACCAAGAAGCTAAAGTCTCTCTCCATCTCCCATCTTGACACTGGTAGCTTGCTTGGATGGTATCCAAAGGTGCTCTCGATCATGATGTCTCTTAACGGTAAACGTGTTTTGTGGTGATATGATTGCCAGCAGCGTCTTTAAACTCGACAGTTAAATGCTCAGGTTCTTTCGGATCGGTTCCTCCGGCGTGCCAAGATTGTCCACTAGGGGACGGAGGGTTAGCGGATATTTCTTGGACATATCTCAATTTCTTTGACATACTCATGTGTGCATCTCACTTTGGCAGAATCAGCACCCCTTGCATCAAGCTGCGCGCTGAATGTGACGATGGCTTTTTCAGCTGAATCGCTCCGTGCGTGTTGATTTTGTAAAACTAATTTTGGACTTTTCAATAGGCATGTTGAGCAAGTGCTGAAGGCAGTGTATACGTGAGTACTGTTTTTGGTAGGCTCAGGAAGTGATAAGTTGGCGTTGCTCGCCCATTATCTACGAGGAAGTTGGGTTTATATGTATACCTTTGCAAACAATGCAGCCGGCTCTGGAACCGTCAAAACAAGGGTGGCTACAGTCCTTGACTCTCTCAAGGCCTCTTCGCCAATGGACCCCCTCCATGGCTCGGCTGCACCCTCCTAGGGACACTGCCTCGACGCGCAAGGCTGTTTCCGGAAGTTGTTCTGAATGAGAAGACTGGCTGGCTCATCCCTCACAGTTGCTGACCTTGCATAGCAAAATCGGGCACCTTGGTGTGCTTCTTGGCCTGCAGACAACCAACCGGATCACATTTGTGATCCATGAAAGGCATTTTTGTGAAGCGAGGTTGGGGAAGATGAGACTTCCGCTAAAAATGACACCCTAGGAAAGGGAGGGGAGGACTGGGGAGGACCCCAATCAGCTCCCCTGTTCCCTCCTGCAAGCCGCCGAATTTGTTGTGGCCATGTCACGTGCCTTGATTCGGCGCCAACATATTTAGTTTTAGCACATATGAATCTGCGGGAAGTCTGAGAATTGGTTCATTGGTTGGTCCATTCCCTCTTCGGGCTAGTGGTTATGCAGGATTACACTATGCTGACTGACTATGTATGCTGGTTGACCTCACAGCTCAGAAACAGACAAAGAATCAACACTGAATACTCCATTGATGATCTCCTACTTGCTTGTTGAAGGATTGGAGGCTCAGGTGGCCAAATATCTACTGTGGACATGTCATGAGCTAGTCCTGATTAGAGTAGTAGCCTTGGCGGCGCATGCCAAGGCTGACCTACAAACAGAATCAAATCACATCCTGCAGGACCTTGCCGGCCTTCATCAACCACATTAAAACAGCATTGCCAACCAACAGGATATATTGGTTCCGCAATCTTTGAGGACATCTCACCCCAGTGCAGTTTGCAATCCTTTGCTGAGATACTTGGGCAAGCCACTTGCTGCGGTCTCTTTCGTTGTCTCCTGTTGTCCACCAGAATGTTACCAGACTGTGCACACCTCACACTCACCCTGTTGGCTTGGCCGCTGACCACAGCGTCTCAATTTTTTTTTTTTCTTGCCGCTTTCAAATGTGGTGGTCTCCAATATTTGTTTTAACAGTATGTAAATTCCCGGACTGTGGCCCGCAATAATAATACCCTGGAATTTGACATGCTAAGGATGAGACTGACAGGCTTGGTGGATAGAGAACACTTGCTTGTAGCTCCTGATAGCCCCAAATTGAGTTAGTGCGAGGAGACAATTGTGTGCAACTTGTAGCAAACAAAGAACTTGCTACCCAGCATAAGTCCAGAAAAACCAGTTGTCATTCAGTTTTTCCTGTATGAAGATGTCAAGCCAGAATCAGTTCACCCCGCCCCTTGAAGCAGAGGAAGGGCCACAAGTGTATTGTCCTGGTGGCTTTCACCCTGTTCATCTAGGAGAGGTGTATGATGGGAAATACAAAGTACTGAGGAAGCTTGGCTTTGGGAGATATTCAACTGTGTGGCTTGTTCAAAATGAAAGGTTGGTTTCCTTTATCCAGCCCAGCAAGCATACAGTTAATAACAGCCATATTCAGAGAACATAACTTTAGGGCCTTGAAAGTTTTGAGTGCAGAGTGTTACGGGGGGGAAAAGGATACCTATGAGCGCGAGATTCTTGAGCACCTGCAAACTGCAGACCCTTCACACCTTGGCTATGATTACATCTCAACATTAGTTGATTCATTTGAACATCATGGCCCAAATGGACGCCATGTCTGCCTTGTTTTTCCAGTTATGGGTGAGACACTCCGGAGCTTTGGAACCTGGTTTGAGGACCATATGATTCCCAATGAGATCATGCGGCGTTTCACTTTCCAGCTCCTCCTGGCATTGGACTATGCCCATGATCATGGTGTCATTCACACTGGTAAATCTTCCATTTGTCTGGTGCCATTTTCCAATCAATAGCTAATCACACCGCCCAGACATCAAACCTGATAACATCTTTGTCCAGATCCAGGATGATTTGCTAATTTCAAAACTATATTTGCCAAATAACCCTGCTGACCCGGCAGCCTTTGACACATCTACACATCCATGTACTATTCAATCTCAGCCTCTTAAGTGGGATTACTTCCAGAAGGGAGCAAATTTCATGGAGTTTAATATTGCCTTGGGTGACTGGGGTGTTGCTAGTTGGGTGCATTCTCACCTCTCTGAGCTAATCCAACCTGTAGCACTTCGAGCTCCAGAAGTACTCATCAAGGCTCCCTGGGGTCCAGCCACTGATCTTTGGAATTTAGGGGCTGTTGTCTTGGAAGTGTTCCGCGCTGTACGCATGTTCAGTGGGAGAGGTCCACCAGATGGTCATTATCAGGTTCAGTTTCATCTCCATGAAATTGTGGATTTCTTTGGGCCATTTCCAAAGTCACTTCTGCAAAAAGGTGACCAAGGGCTTGTTCAAAGATGGTTTGACAGTGAGGGAAGGATAAAAGATTTGCGTCCACTCAACCGTCCAGGGCTGGAATCAGAGGCATTTCTGGGGAAGTTGGATGGGGAAAACAAAAAGAAATTTGTTATGTTCTTAAGGTCTCTCATGAAGATTGATCCAGGAGAGAGGAAGACGACGATGGAATTACTTGCTGAGCCCTGGCTTGATGCAGTCAGGAACTAGCCGCTTAGCAGGAGCCAGCAGGTGCTCGGAGCTTGTGGTGGACAGAGGTCTCTTAGGGAACCGGTGGTCAATAATGATACGTTGGCAGGGGGGTCATGGTAGCTGTAAGGTGCAGTCCGTGGGGGATTTGGATGTTATTGATAGCCCTTCGGGCTTGGTCCGAGGATAGGGCGTTAAGGGGTGTCCGAGGAAGAAGGCACAACATGAATCAAGTAACAAAGGTGTAAATGTTCTCGCAGGTCCGAATGCAAAGTTGAACTTAGTATATGTTCGACACCTGGTCTTGATGCCGAAGAGCCCACCTCTTCATTGAAGGCAATATTCGCCTGCCCAGTTGGGTATTCCTTACAGACCTCTCACTTCCCTAAGACTTACTATGCATACCACAATATGAAGCCATTCAAGCACAAAATGAGAGAATGATTTTGGATCCACTGCCAGAGCGATTGACTGAGAAGCTTGGCGACCTTTCACACAAGTGCCCGCATGATTTCCACGCCTGGGCACGGGCCGCGCCGCGGAGAAGCTAAAAAGCGCTGACGCAACAGGCGCAAAGGTTTGATGTGATGTCCGTGCATCTTGGGAAATCAGCGGATTTTGCACCGAGTCAACCTGCTGAGATTGCCATATGGACTTCGAAATTAATTGATGCTATGACAAAGATTCGACGCGAGGCAAAATCTGCAGCTGCAGCATGTCGGGAACGCCTACAAGTGTTAGGGAACCTAACATAAGTTTTGTGGGTTTTCCCAGTTTGGGGGTACGAAAGAGCTAAGTAGGTCCAATGCCCACAACTGATGGGAGGGAGTTGTGTGTAGAACATAGGGGTCCTCTAACTAGGAGACTGTATGCTGAGGTTCCCCACAATCTGTGTGAATTGTGCGATCCTTATACATTCAGAGTTATGGATCACATGAGTTCCCCTGAACATCTGATGTTGTCTGATGCTTCATTGGCCTACATTTGTAACAGATGTTGATGGATGTGATGGATGTGATGGATGTTGATGGATGTGATAGATGCAGTGGATGCAGTGGATGCAGTGGATTCAGTGGATGCAGTGGATAAAACAGCCCAAACAAGTTCACATGATAGGGCTATTTTATCTACATGATATGTTAACTCTCCCCCAAACCACAAGGTGAAGAAGGGGAGAGAAGCTGGAGCCATATATCTTACTAGGCTTTCTTGTGGGCTATGATTCTATGTACATCTACTGCATTTGAAACACTGAATACCTTAGAACTTATTATAGACTGAAAGGTCTGAGATTTCACAATGACTGCATCAATATAGGAAAAATAGCCACTCAGGATACCATCTTTTTCATATACTAGGAGCTTACAGACAGAGCAGTTAAAGAAAGCCACAGATTAGAGAAACCTATATCTACTATAGACAGGGCTCTTAAGTTTATTAAGTTATCAAGAGAAGTTCTGAGTACTCCGTACTCCAGGCCACATTTTTCTGAATGTGGACAAGCTGCTTTTGGGATCATGAAGCTACCATCTTGCTAAACAGGTTGGTGTAGATTGCTTGCTAGAGGAAATGACACCTAGAAACTAATGCTCAATGTTCTGTGCCAATCATGTTTGATTATTGCAAGTTCCAAGACTCACATATTCAACTTGCACTCCCTGACACTTCACCCCTCAGCTTGGCTCACAGAGGCATACTGTGGTGAAAGAGATGTGGCAAGTTTGCCAGTGATTGGGGAACAAAAGTGAGACCATGGAAATCAGCACTAGTGGCCCAGGGTGATGCTGAACAGGAGACATGCCTGGTGATCCAGTCTGGCCAATACAGTGGTTTCATGTGGGAAGAGGAAAACCCTTTGGCTAAGACTCACTCAGTGAATGATGGACTGGCTCTTAAGAAATTTAGGAAATTGAGGGAGAAATCAAGAGAGAAATTGGGAGAGCAAAGAAACTGTGAAAACACCAGAAGCAGAAAGATAACATGCATTGGTGGCTCCAGAGTTGCTGAATTAGATGACATGGCAAAAACCATCACAATATGGCTGCAGGAGGCCCCCAGCTGCCTTGATCACCTGAGAGAGCAAAGTAATACTGTGAGGGGTGGTGTTGATGGCCCAGAAACCAATGAATTAACAGAACAGTTGTCTGGATCTGTTGGATAAGCAGTTGCTAACTATGCAGGCGCAGAGAGAAAGGGGCGGGGGCCAGGTAACAAGGCACCGTCCCTGCAGGGAGGAGAGTGGCAAGGGGGCAGTGCACTTGGGCGCAAGAGACGGGGCAAGGGAGAAGGGAAAAAAGGGGACGAGAAAGTGCGTCATCATTCGAGGGAGCGAGGCCGGGTCTTTATAGATTTTACGTTTTCGATAGGAAGAAATCAACAAAGTAATAGAATAGCTTTCACATATTTCGCAGTCAATATTAGGTCTGGTCGTGGAGCATCTTTCCACCAGAGACGAAGCTTTGGAATGAAGTCCCGGGATTTTTCCGCACTTAATCTTGATATTGGCAAGGCTAGAGTGCACAACAGATAGACCTCGGCACCTACGCCTATAAAAATATCTATTAATAAATCGCGTAGTCGGTTCCTCTCACTGCGACGCTGCTTTCGCCGCTTCGCGAGACTCGCGTCATCCTCTCGTAGTATGTCGTAGTAGGACAAAAATGCGTTGATTTGGTATGAAAGTAACGGATACGGAGCCGCATCTCCAAAAGTTGCAAGCTCTTTCTCGAGCAGTTCAATAAGGGAATCTGATGGATTAGAAGCAGCGGACATTGTGGAGGGCTGCAAGGCAACCCTCACTCAGTGTTTGCATCAACAATTGAGTGGATCAATTGGATAGTAAAAGTCCGGGCGACCTGAATGATACAATGTCCAGCCACAATTCACCTCTAGAAGGTTGTGGACAAGTAGAACTCAGTTAATAGGCGCAAAGATACGGGAGAGACTTAAATGGGTGACAATTAAGTGATCCTCATAGGTCTAATAGGTTGAGCGCGTAGATAGGGTGAGTCTTTGCTAGGATTGATCATTTTTGGGAGGATACGTTACTCTGTACTCCGTACGGAGTACTCTGATCTCGCATGAGTTTTAAGTCAACCTGCCGCGGCACGAGACTCAAGGTCACCTGACAAAATTGACGTAAGGTTGGACTAGTACCGGTAGGGAGTGTTTATATCTCTTTAGGACAGGACTTCCCTCGCATCAACCCCTTCTCTGGGCTATATCACTCGTAACTAGCGGTTAGCGTTCGTGTGGCCTTTGTGGCCGCCAAACCTGCGATAACCCGCGCCGTCTCGCTCCCTGAATGGCCCCACCATCCCCGTCTCTGGTATCAACACATGCTCGCCCAGAATGACTGGCATTGGAACGCCCCAGATTGGCGTGCCAGCTATGGCGATAACGACAACAGCATCCCAATACCTCAAGGGCGATGATACGGCAGACTTCGGCGACTTTGTGAGCACTGAAGACGACGAACTTGATCTTGAAGAGGTTGTCGAGCCCTGGCATAAGTACGATATAAAGGAAACTCCGCATGTATTCTATCCCATTTTTGTCGGACAAGTGCTCAATGAAAGATACCTGGTAGAGCACAAAATCGGCTCTGGGGGCTTCTCCACTGTCTGGATGGCCCAGGACCTTAAGAACAAGAGAGATGTGGCCCTCAAAGTTATGTCTTTGGGACAATGGGGAGAAAATGAAGCCCACATGCATGACAAAATTATCCAGACTGTACAGGATATCTCTCACTTTGTGACATATTTTGACACCTTTCTACTCCCTGGAAATAAGGGACATAATAGGGTTCTGGTGCTTCCCTTGATGGGCCCATGTCTTTGCCCTGTTATTCTGAGAAAGATGCCCATGGCCACTCGCATGTCTGCTGCTCAGCAGTTGCTAAAGGCCTTGGAAAATTTACACGAAGCTGGTATTGTACACCGTGGTGAGTAAACTCAGTCTTCCACTCTTTCCTGTTCGTCCGCATTCTAAATGGATATTTGACAGATTTGAATGAGAGGAACTGTATGTGGGGGATGGTTCCTGTCCACAATCTCAACAGGAGTGCTAAATACAAGGCACTCACTCGGCCACTAAAGCAATCCATACCATTTGTTGAGCTCTGGAAGCAGGGAGAGCTTGTTCGTCCCCTTGAGATTCCTGAGAATCTACGAACAGACGAATTCTATCTTGGTGACTTTGGTCTGGCCATGACACTTGGTGACCCTGTGACTCAACATGGCTATCCACCTCTGCAATTTTGCTCCCCAGATCGACTTCATGGGAAAGATCCAAGTTTTGCCTGTGACATGTGGAGTTACATGGTCATATTTGCGGAGCTCTATCTTGGCTATCCACCTTTCCCTACCTAGCTTAAAGGTGGAATAATAACTGGTATTGTGAGATGTTTAGGTCCACTGCCTGAGCAGTGGAGGACTCTTTACACTCACCCTGGAGGCCTTGATGCCTGGTATAATCAGCATCAAACACCAAATCCTAATCATGACCTTGCATCAACAATTGCGTACTTTCGTCCGGAAGCTGATCCCACTGAGCGAGAACATGTACTCTCTGTTATGTATAAAGTATTTACTTACTACCCAGAGAAACGTCCAACTGCAACACAGCTTCTGCAAGACCCTTCATTCAGAGCTATCATGGACAAATATGGTTGTTGATGATCTATTCCCTTGACTTCGTATGCTGCATTACCGTGTATTTCTTGCTTACTCTCAGTCTCTCTTTTCTCTTTTTGTTCCCCTGGAAGGATTGCCTTTCTTACTTCAAAAATGCAAATGCAAGCTTTTTCTGTTACATATTAGATTCTCTGTACTTTGAAAGTTGAATGCATACATGCAAGGCACATTTTCTTTAGAATGATCATCAAAATGAATTCAAAGTACCCACAAATCATTCACTGACTATACTCCGAGCGCAAACTTCATTTGAAAAAGTAGGTGGTCTAGTATGCTTATGCAACTAAAATACTATGTATTGACCTTGTACCTCTCCTTTATCAAGCTTGGAAGATCTGGCAACTATTAGATTGCGGGACTGTCATAATAAAGCCATGGTAATGTGCAAAACAAGCATCAGCATCAGCATCAGCATCAGCATCAGCGATGTAGGCTTCCAGCACGCTGCCTTGGAACACCATGCCTTTCTTCCGAGTACTTGCGTTCCAGTCCGTAGTCTTCAGGTCTTTGGCCCTCTGGGAGAATTGGAGCTCCACCAAGGCTGGCCAGGACGACCTTGTTATTGGCTGTTAGGTCATCCATGATCTCGAGTTCTTTATCATAGAACCATCTCGGGAGCAACCAAACACGCACGGGTATGAGAAGACAGATGAGAACAGGGAAACCTGTAGGGAGGGATAAGCGTCTGGAATGCAGGGTACGCGGATATAGCCAAAGCAGGAGGTCATACCAATAGCCGCAATTGTGTGGGAAATAGCCACAGTGCACGCGACGCCAAACATTTGCAGTCCGACGTACAGCACGACTTTTCTTTTGCGTATCAAGAGGAGTGGCTCATCACGGTGAATGAACCTGTCCTCGCGGAAGAGGAAAATAACCTTTTGCAAAATTCCGTTTGACTCGATAGATCCCCACTAGTGCTTTGGTCAGCCAAGAGGAAGTACGGATTGAAGAACGGATAGCCTACTCCAACAGTGAAGAATACACCTGCAAAGACCGCTACAGGCATAGTATGTAACACAATCAGTAGCGGTCCGGTCATTGTTCCAATGAGTAAGAGGGCCATGAAGAAATGAGAAAGTCGCTGTTCAACTACGGCCTTCGCCCTCACAACCGGTCTCCTAATCTCTGCTCCTTCTCCCTCTGCCGTGGAAATTATTTTCAGTTCAGTTTCGTAAATAGTAAGAGAATCGGTGTGCACAGGAGCCTAGAATAGTTAGGCATGTGATGAATCCCAAAGTAGGTGGGTTTTTCTAACCTGTGGGACGAGTCCGTTGGGCATTGGTAGGCCTAAAATTCCGGCCACAAAGGTTGTGCAGCCAAGAAGGAAAAAGTCCCAGTGAAATCCGCCGGGCTTTTTCAAAGGGAACTGTCTCGCCTGCGCTGTCAAACTGCTGACATTCTTTGCTGCCGTTAATAACCACAGTTTCCGTTATTGTCGGCGAAAGGGACACCTACGTGATCATAGTAGAAGAGAAGCATCGTCAGAAAGCCAAACGGTATGGCCACGAAAATCCATTTGGTGTCCAAATTCCAAAACTCAATAAGCCAGCTACGGGGCTGGGTGGGATAAAAGGCTCGGGTAATTGGCACTCGGCCAATATCTGCTGCTTCAAGGCGTCCTGGGATATGCGAAAAGCCAACCCAAAACATAGTACCGATCTCAATCAAGCAGATCATTAATCAGCACTTTGCTCGCCAGAAAAATAGGCGTGGAGTATGGGTCCAGTTACTCACAGGGTAAGCGTAATCGGCCAATAGTCCTCGCAGAGTCGGGTTCAAAACATTGCTTGCACCAAGCTTCTCAAGTGCATAGATGCTACCGAAATACAAAATCCCAATCAAACAGCTTAGGTACCCAGCGACGAGGCCATGTGAAGCGAACTCGGACACAAGTTCCTCGACTCCCTTGACTAACAGCGAGTTAATCCAGTGGCATTGGAGGGATGGTTGGTATCAGGGTCGACATACTCAGATAGATGATACCAACGTACATCCCAAAGGCCTCGCTAGAAAAATCTGTCACATAACGCATGTAGTCGCACCAATTCCAGATTGCAACAAGCCAATGGAAGATTGCAGCCCAGATCCCCGTCCAGCATATGAACTGGGGGTATATAGAGACATCATATATCTTGATGATGTCGTAAATAGTAAAATTAAACAGCGAGATAAGACCGGTTATGCCAACCACAGTGAGTGGCTGAGCGCTCAGCAAGCTGAAAACTACTGCTGCAAGAGCAGAGGAAAAGAGAGCTTCATTGATACCGAAGAACTCGCCTGTACGGCGGTACATGTCCAAGGTGTAGGCTATAGCGGGAAGCAAGCTAGGAAACGGACGTCAGTTTCAGGCAAGGTTAAATACAGTTCAGTGTAGAGACATACTTCACAAAGTACATTCGAACAGTGCTCGCAATAGTCCTGTACGTGAAGCCGTCGATGATGTCGCTTTTGTAATAGGGCAGCCGCCTTCGGATATCGTGGTATATTCCCCGACCCGGCCTGAGGATGCGGTACCGTTTCCATCCCCGAAGATTCTCATAGGTGTATGCGTCTCTCGTTCTTTCCCGAGTCAAGGGGGGAGGGGAGTCCGCCCCGGCATCTGTGGTGGAACGGGAGGACATGATGCAGTGTCACTCTATCAAAGTGAAACGCAACGAGGGAGAAGTAAGTCAATGCCGAGGTCTCTGCGAAGACAACAAGGCGAATTTATAAAATAATAATACGGAGCACTACTCGAGAACTTGTGTTTGCAAACTTCGTGAATGCTATTCAAGTCTGTCGGAAAACCATGAACGACACCGCGACCAATGGGAGAGATCCCATCCCGTCGCAGCGGCAATGTGCTCTGTGGAGGTCCCCTAAACCGGCCGAACCCCCTGACAAGGACCCAAAAAAAAAAAAAAAAAAGAAAAGAAAAAAGAAAAAAAAGAAAAAAGAGATTTCGAACAGTGCTTTCAAAGTCAATACGGGGAAGTATACGTCGTCTACTCTTCGCCTAGGGAAGAGCAGCCATCGAACCGTGACAATGACACCCGCCTGCCCCCAAACCACCGGCCGTGCCAACCTAAATCTCATACATCGTGGATTCCGTGGTCGTGACACACTTGCGCTGGAAACATCAGAGCTTGAGCGCGCGACTTCTCTCACACCCAAGGAACGATATCAAAGTCTATCAACGGACGGACTAATCCCGTGCAGTCACGATAACGTGGAGATGGCCAGGTGCAGCGCAAGGGTGGTCCATCGCCAGTCCCGCCCGACGAGCGAGGCATGAGCGGATGATCCGATCCACAGTACTCCGTAGCCGCCTCCGCGGGCGTTGAGAGGCGCCCAGGATGACGACAGAGCACCGCTATGGAGTACGGGATACGGAATACACGATCATGTTACGGTTCCCGCCGGGTCAATCAGTAGTGACTGGTTAGTTAACCCAGCCACGCCTCTTCTGCCCAGGCAGAAAAAAAAGAGAAAAAAGTAAAAAAGAGAGAAACTCGCACCGCCACATGCCAAGCCGTGCTGCTCCGGGCGTTTCTCCGCCACTGACGGAGAGCACAGAGTTACGGAGTACATGAAGTATATACAGAGTACGGAGTTACGGAGTACAGAGTAGTTTAATGGGTTTGAAACCATCTTCCTCCCTGTACAACATTCGACAGACGCCATCCGCGGATAGGCTCCTCTCAACAAGCGACTCTTTTGCCTTCCTCCTGCTCCTTCCGCTGTAGCTTGATGCTTCTTTTGGGTCGACTCTCGCTCTGAAATGCCTGAAAATGGCGGCGAAACCCCTAGAGCGATATCCCCTGATATCGCAGCTGTGTAATGTTTTTGGAACTGATTCGACCCTGCTTGAGTCCGCCATAGCTGCCGCTGAGCAAGGTGAAGGGGGTTGTTTTCTTCGTCTGGAGGCTCACATCTGTTTCTCCAAGGTCTCCGAGGCCAACGTCGACCCCCCGAAACCCCTACTCCTGGTAAGGACGATATGTCCCGTCTCCTCCACCAGTATATCCCCGTCGGTTCTCCTGACAAGGCATCTAGGGTTCGATTGACCTTCGAAACGGTCAGACTCTAGTCACTCCTGAACCATCTCCTGGCACTGGGCTCGAAGGTCAGGTACGTCGACCTTGTTTATATGTCACCACTCCATCGTACCACGGAGTAACTGTCCCTGTACAACTCATATATCTGTTGACAGCTACGTACAGGACTTAGCACACACCGACAGCCATGAAGAAAGGCCAATCACCGTGCTACCTTGTGGCAATTCTAAACCGGCAGAATCAAGTCATCCAACGCAAACAGACGAGTACGAGGGCCGAAAACGCCGCAAGGTTGTTGGTGGCCTTCGACTTCGACCTCGGACTTCCTGTTCCCGAGAAGATGATCGTGATTCAAGCTCGTATTCGAGCTCTCAAACGGAGCCAGTTCGCCAGCTGCGGAGCGAAACGAGGTTCCCCCAGCGGAGTGACTCGAAGAAGGCTTCTCGTGCAACAGGCGAGCCATCATCCGTCGACAAGCTCATCTCTGGGATATGGCGGCAACTCCATTCAAACACGGAGCTGAATTGGTCTACATTGGTATGATACATGCAACATGTCATCCCCCCGGGCGGAAGAGAGCGTCTAACTCACACCTCAGGCCACGCATGCAACAGTTGGTGTCAGCGGTGAGGTCACCGCGGAGGTGAGTGGCCCATCAAGTAAGACTGCACCGACTTCGTAACTAAATTATTTCTTCAGCTGTTCAAGGCCGTCAGCAACCTCTGTCTTCGACACTCCAACAAGACACAGACTGCGCGCGCCCTAGAAATGATTGTACAAGCCTACTGGACTGATTGTTATGAAGCCCGCATAAAGTCTATCCGCCTGGAAAGGCCAACTAGCTCTGCGTCAGAAACCCGAATAGCTGCTCTGAAAGAGGCTTGCTCCGCTCTCGGATGGGGAGACAAGGAACTCCGAAATAAGATGTGAGTCTAGATTTTTTTTTTTTTGATACATGATGCCAATCCCCTCCCCACACACTCTCTCACTCTACACACACCATATATATACAACTTTTCGAAGGTATCTCTCAATAACCGAGGAGCAGGGCCATTTGGAGGGGTTACAAGGAAATCAAAGATGCTGGTGGCTGGGCCAGCCTCGTCTTTGCTAGCTCCGGCGTATATCGCTTCTGCAAATATCGAACACGAATAGACGATGGTTTAGCTTTGAGACTACAACAGATAAGATCGGCAGTTGAACTTGCAGCAGACACCCTGCATCCAAAATGGCGAGAGCTGCTCAACGTTATCGGTCAAGGATCTGTAGCTCTCTACAACGGACATCCACATGAGTGGGTTATAATGCCGAGTAGATCGGTTCAGCATATAACCTCAACCTATCGTCACCTCCAAGCAGAATTTTTGTTTAAGTTCATCGATGAGTCCATTATTGATCGCAGCCTCTTTGGCGACATCGATCCACGATATACACCTGATATTGACCAAAATACTTGCCAAGTCTGCGGACAGCTTCAGTCTGACGATACTACGCTTAATCGATGTGCTTGTTTCCCTGCATTGTTCGGGGCTCCTCGAAAGCCAGTCCCCATTCAGATCTTTCACACTACAAATGGCAAGAACAACGGTGTCATAGCTCGCTGTGTATGTCAGCTTCCTAGTACCTTATCGCACGTAATTCGGGATGCTGACTCACTCTAGGATCACGAGAGGGGAGCTGCAATCGCGGAGTTTGTCGGATTCATAACAAACGGGATTGAGGACCTAGATGTAATGGCGGGTGGTTCGAAGATGCAGGGTTATCAAATTTTTCAGGGGCAGATGGGTACGTCTCGTAGGAATAAATGATCCACCATGTCTACTAACCGCCGCTTGCAGGCAACTTTACTCGCTTCATCAACCATTCCTGTCATCCGAACAGCCAGTTTCAAAAATTTTATTGGCGCGGCAGAGAGCATATTATCGTGGTCTCCCGCGGCATACTAGCTGGGAATGAAATCACGGTGGATTACTCCGATCACTACTGGGAGCGGCTGGACAAGGCATGTCTCTGCGGGGAATCCAGCTGTCGATTTCCTCAGCGAAAGGTTGCAAGACGAATAGCTAGTAGGACGGATTCAGATAATGTAGGCAATCTAAATTAACAGAAACGCAGTACTCCGTAGTTCTCGCCAATGCAGACCCCATTGCCAATAGCTGCAACGTAGTAGCGACAAAAGGATAACTTTGCGTTGATCGGTAGGATCATATCAAAGTTTATCACATGTCCAAGTCATTCCCTGTCGATCAGCAGCTCTCATGATAATCCTTTTCATCGAAAGGGAGACCTTGTGCTACATTGGCCAGCCAAGTCAATGTTTGGATGGCTGCGATGCTGCTCTCCGATTGGCTGTCATGGATAACTTCATCGCTCTGGATCAACAATTTTCCATCCTGACTAAGCTTTACTCCGTAGTAAACTAACTAACTAGTTAAACTATCTTATCTGATCCTCAGCAGGCGGCGACCAGAAAAAAGAACCAAAAAAGTTTCCGTCGAACATATTGAGAGACTCTCAGCGAGGCGCTCTTTACAAGCCAACCTCGCAACCACCGTCATGGCGTCGCCTCCGTTCGAAGCTGTTCCCCAGTTCTCACTGTCCACCGTACTGGGAGCACTGACGGACTCCATCTCCAGTGCCCTTTCTTCCCTACCGTCCAATACACCCCACGAGGAGTCCGGAGACGATGCGTCCATCCTCCCCCCGGTGGACGGCATTTCCCTCTTAGACACAAAAAATGAGATCCTACTCTCTTACCTTCAGAATTTAGTGTTTCTCCTTCTCCTGCAGGTCCGGCAGGTGTCTGCCCCCCAGCCCGCGCCGGGCACCACACGCCGCAATGTTGTGGGTTCTCAGCCTGACGAAGTGATAAAAAAATTGACAGAGCTACGCGTATACCTCGAAAGGGGCACCAAGCCTCTCGAGGGCAAGTTAAAATATCAGATCGATAAAGTTCTAAAGGCAACAGACGACGCGGAGAGGGCCCAGAGAAGCTCTCTAGCAAAGAAGCCACGCACCCGGCGAGAAAATATAGGAAGTGACGACGACGACAACTCCTCTGCAGAGAGTGATTTCAGTGACGAAGGCACAGAACTAGACAGCGAAGAGGATGAAGAGATCGACGAACTTGCCTATCGGCCAAATCTCGCTGCATTCTCGAGAGGTGCACAGGACACAGCTGAAAAAGCAGCATCTCAAAAGTCGAACGCCGCCGATGGCATATATCGACCTCCAAAGATTAAACCGACTGCATTGCCGGCAGAGTTCTCCGATCGCCGTTCCGATCGTGAAGGTCGCCGGCCCGGTAAATCTCGCGCCATCGACGAATTCGTGAGCGCAGAGATGTCTGCTGCGCCAACGGCAGAACCCAGCATTGGCAGTACGATCAGGGCCGGTGGAAGGGAAGTCCGCACGCTGCGCCAAAGAGAAATTGAAACCGAGCGGCGAACATACGAAGAAACCAACTTCGTCCGTCTACCAAAGGAGAGTAAGAAAGATCGAGCAAATAAAGGGGGGAACAAACAAGGCGGTTTCGGCGGCGAGGATTGGAGAAGCCTCGGAGAGGGAGCAGATCGAATTGAACGCCTCACTCGTCGGGTTCGAGGAAGCGGCGGGGTGCTAGAGAAGAGCAGGAAGAGACGGCTTACGGAGGATGGGCCTCGCGGTGATGGTATCAATGTCGGCGAAGGATTCGAGAAACGACGGAAGAAAATTGCGGGATGGAAGAAATAGCCCTTCTTTCTTTTTTTCCGCCTTGGACCTCCCGATGCTATATGTATAATACTCTTCTGGCGTTTGCGGCACTTATGTTCCGTTGCAATATTGAAGCATTTAGCGAATAGACCTATTCACCGGATCTGGGCCGCAGAAAAGAAGATCCATCTGCTCTTCCTTTTTCTCATACAGCCATCACTTACTATTGTGTTCGATCTCGTTAGCGAGGGAGTTGGATAATTCGCCCTGCCATGGGTACCATTCGATGACATCATTGCCATCCATGGTGTGAAAGACGCGTTAAATGACCTCGACGGAGTATAGATGGCCAGCACAGCGATAATAGCACTGTATGTTGATCATGGAAGACCCAGGTAAGTTCCCTTGTGCGACGGGGAAACGCCTCGACATACCAGTTTCTAAGCTCCTCTCAGTCGTGGAAATCCGTCATGTCGTCCATTTGCTTACCCAGTCCACGCCATCCGTCCAACGGCGCACGATCGAAAGGTACTATACACCGTCGGCATCGTTTATACACCCGTTCTGTCGCACTGGGTCATTTTCGGGCAGTAGGTGGTTGATCATCTGGATATATCGGTTTTACAAGATCATGTCGCCTCATATTGACCTGAAAGTGGAGTCTGTGGGTGCGGCCTCCCCGTCCCACCCCCCCAAGCATCGACGATAGGCTGATGGTTGATTATTGTATAGCATTTGATGCCGAGAATTTACTTCTATACGTAACAATCTCACAAGTATTCCGCATCTTTTTCATACCGTTCTACGTCGCACCCGTCACTCTCACCACTGTACTTACGCTCACCACTTCCCGGTCTAGTCACGATAATCAACATCGTGACAGGGATACATTACTCTCAGCCACCACCGCCAACAGTGACCGCGACAATGACGACACCTTATCCCACTTGCAACCAGGATCCGTCGCTGCCTCGGATCCTGGCCAAGGCTCTCCCGAATTGAGTTCCCAAACCTTATACTATATTTCCGTCCAGAACGACCTTTATCAAACTTCTGAATTCATAAAATTTATACTTCCGTTCGGCATAGGCAGCATACTTGTCTTCTTATGGCACTCGCTGGCAACATTCATCAGCGTTGGATGTGCTCTTATCCTCTGGCCGATTACTTTTGTAGAAGATCCTAGACTGTGACCCGTTTCCTAGAAATGGAATGTCAGCGCCAGCGTAGATCTATGATCATTAAGGGAGGGAGGTTTGTACTGATATTAATTTTATATACAGATGGACTTTATATTATCATCATTATTAACAAGCAACTGGCTCCGCAGCATTGATTCCACTTGTATGATACTATGCCAAAAATGAACCTGATCTATGCAAAATATCACCAAGGTATTCATCACTCCTGCACATCATTTTCACAGTCCATATTCAACATTAAATCTTAAGAAAGAAAGAAATTTGGGTTAACCATGGTTATCCCATGTTATTTCAAATGTACCTCTTCTATTAGCCCTTCCTCTGTTTTGACTACAGCCATCGGCAAAGCAACCCCGATGCCCATAAAAACAAAAAATGCCCACTTCCACCTAAATGGGTTAACTAAAACCACAAAGACAAACCAATACAGGAGTTCGGAATAAGTGAAGAAATCAAAAGCTCCAGTGGGAGCAAAATTTTTCAGAAGTCTTGTCATATCTATCCAGCGCTTCATCCAGAAGTCCGTGGGGCGGGTCAAAGGGTCCACAAGGAACATGAGGAGCATGCGAGTGTAAATACCAATGTGGTAATTGCCAGCTGTGGCAATGGCATGGATATATGTGCTGTTGTTTGCACAAATACTGGGGAAGCCAGGCGGGAATACCTGGAGATACCAATTAGGAGGGCCATAGGGGGACTTGAATGCTTCCGACGGGAGGAACGAGAGCGACGGCCTGGTAAATCCGGTCGCCATTATGATGATGTCCCCCTCAACGAATATATCGTGGCCCGGTCCAGACTTGGGCACGCCTCTGGCACGATGATTAAAGCGGATACCATTTTTGGCCACGGTGACGACATCGCCTCGAAGCCAGCGAGCTTTACCTTCACGAATCAGCTGGAATAACTGCGAGTTGACGGTAGGCGTGTCCATGAAGACCCCTTTATCGGAGGGAGAGATATCTTCGAGATCACGGTAGAAGAACTTCCGAAGCAAGGTTTCAGGAATCCACGACAAACGGGTCTCTTGACCGAGAATATTGCATGCCAGTAGGACGTCAACGATGACATTTCGCGGGATAACCCACTTATCGGAACGAGAGAGCACGTCAATTCTAGCAGCACCAGCCTCCACAGCCCATTCCAAGGCTTCGATGGCACTAGCGCCACCTCCGATCACCATAACGCGTTTACCTTTGGCGTCTTTTCCATCCAGATTAGACGAATGGTATATTTGGCCTCTGAAATTCTCCTGGCCTGGAAGCGAAGGCATCTTAGGGTCACCACAGCTGCCAATGGCGGCGATGACGCCATCAAAATCGCCATATTTTGATTCAGCATCGTTGATGACCCATTTTCCGTTACGATTTTGCCTTAGAGACTTGACCGGTGTATTAAATAACGTGCGGTCCTCGAGGCCATACCGGTCCCACAGGGAGATAATTTGACCCTTAATCTTCTCCTGCTTCGGGTATGCACTCTCCCATCTGACTGACGGATGGAATCGGAACATGATGCTGTGAATCTGAAGGGCGGAAGTTGTATTTACTCTCTAGCAACAATCAGCCATCGACCAATATGAGAGTGTACTATGCTCGCGAGCGGCGTACACTCCAAATACCACCTAAACCCTTTGCCTTCGAGCGAGCCTCGAAGATCTGGACATCGAAACCGTGGCCCACGCAATGAGCAGCGGAAGAGACACCGGTCAGGCCGGCACCAATGATGGCAACTCGGGGACGCTGGAGCTTCGCACCCTTATTGGGCGGCGGGGGGGTGGGAGCGAAAACAAGGCTCAGGATGTCCTGTAAGAAAACGTAGAGTACAACGAGTGGATAGCTGACGGCCGTCCAAAAGAGGCGATCGAGGGTTTGGAGCAAGTTCATATTGCTAACACAGATGATATGAGAGAATGACAGCGGTGGGATCAGGACAGGCGCAACAGTCGCAGGTTCGGCTACAGCATCGACGCGGTCTAAAATCCACATTAAAAAAATTGAAAATATTAAAAAAACGGAAAAAAGAGGTAAAGCGTAGTAATATATAGAGAAGCGCCTCTTATCTCTACAAATTGAACAACGCCAGGAAGAACGTCATCCGGGCTCCAGAGCGATGACGTTATGATGTCTGGATTCGCTTGTTCCACGCCCGGCTGGCATCGCTTCAGTGGGAATGCGGGTGGAATTGACTTTTCTAGAAGAACGACCGTGTTTGTCAATGGTGGCAGAGTATCATGTTGCTGCGAGAGATTTTTAGTTGAAAGGACTCCTCGTCGGAAGTTGTGGTTTTAAAAGGACTCGAGATCTTTTTGTTGGCGGAGACTGGGGAAAAGCGGAGAGTGGAGTTTCTTCACCGACCCCATTATCGCTGGTTTCCATCTCACAGCTATTGAGCCAACCTCCCACGTCGACCTCTAAAGAAATACGTTACGTGTCAAACCACTGTTCGCGAAGAATGCATCCTTATCGAATTCGTTAAAGCCGGCAAACCCCAGCCCTTTCTCGCTACACCAAACTTCGACAGCGATGTGGAACTCGCCCGCTCCCGAGACTCCGGTCTTCAACAACTTTCTCTCAGGCCTGCAGGAGATCATCCGGGCCCGCGATGGCGCAAAACTTCAGGACTTTCTGCAGCTCGAACCTCCCCTGGCGCCGATCTACAACCAGATGGTCGATGAGTTGCGGCATGCCTATCCCAGTGCCTCTGGCAAAGACGAACGCCTGCTGGCCAAATGCGAATCCCTGCTGCCCGCTTCGGCATCGACAAGCCCTTGGAACGCGTTCCCGTTGTTTATGCGGTTGTACTTTACGTTCTTGAGGGATGTCAACCTGGATAATCTACTGGAGACTTATGAATTGCTGAGAACCCTGTTGAAGTACGGGCCCTCCCATTCACATGGACTCTGCTTAAACGGCTAACGACGCGTCCTCGGCAGCCAGTGTATCGTCGCGCTCGGCGACAGCCAGTATGGCGTTATTCTCCTCCCAACCGTCCTGTACCTCTGCAAGGTTCTCGCAAAGTTCGCAATCGGCCTTGACCGTCGACCAGAACTTATTGCCCACCTGTTACGCGAAGGAGCCGACGCGGAGGGTGCGACGGAGAAGGTTACACTTGTGGAAAAGTCGGCCAATGTTGTCAGAGAGGCGTTTATCAGGTGCTTAACAGACCGTACCGGGACTCTGGGCAGACCAGAAGGAAAGAGAATAGGCATTTACCTCCTGGCGAACCTGTGCCTGAAGCTCTTGTTCAAGGTGCGACATCGAATTTGCTACGGTGAATGAAAGTTCTTGCTAACGGTATCCGTCCAGTGCGGCAAGCTCCGGAATGCCGAACAGATGTTCGCGAGTATCAACGCACAGTCCCCTCCGCTCTCCTATTTTCCTGCCTCGCAGAGAGTCACTTACCTCTACTACCTCGGGCGATACCTCTTTTCCAACAACCTCTTCTACCCAGCACAAACCGCATTGCAATCTGCATACGACCAATGCCACAAGCAAGCCGTGAGCCAGCGACGTTTGATTCTGACATACCTAATCTCGTGCAATATTATCCTCGGACGGTTTCCTTCCATGACCCTTCTCCAGAGACCCGAATGCGACGGACTCGGCGAGAGATTCGTACCATTGTGTCAAACCATTGCGCGTGGCGATGTCCCTGCATTCCGTGAACACCTCGCGGTGGATTCAACTAACGCGGGTTGGTTTGCACAAAAGGGAATATTATTGCAACTTCGAAATCGATGCGAAATCTTGGTCTGGCGTTCGCTGGCGCGAAAAGTTTTTATCTTTGCCGGCTTTCATGGCAATCCAAATGCACAATCGCAAAGAGGTCCCCCGCCTTTCCTCTATTTACACAAATTTGAAGCCGCCATCCAATGGCTAGAGTCCCGGGCAAAGCAGCAGCGCCAGGTTGCAGCCGCGAGGAAAAGAGACTCCGGCGGTGAGCTTATCTCCTTCCCCGCGGATTCCGATTTCAACGACGGTGCTTCCAATGGTGATAATCTAGCCAGGGATTCGAATTGCGACGACTACATAAATCCTGCCGGGTATTTTGACTCGTCGGGCGAATGGGTTGATGTCAATAACCCACGGGATCTGCCTGAGCCCGATCTACACGACTCTCACCTGATAGATGACGGCTCCGGGGAAACGTTTGCCTATATCGTCAGCACTGAGCAAGACATCGAAACCACCGACCCAGAAGGTCCATCACCCCTCATGCGTGATCTAGAATGTATACTCGCTTCTCTCCTCAACCAAGACCTCATGCGTGGGTACCTTACGCACAAGAATCCACGATACGCTATCCCCGGGTCACGGGTGAAAGGTGCACTTCCAACAGGATTTCCGAATGTCTGGCAAACCATCTACGCTCGAGAGAACGAAGATGACCAGGTTCCCGGTTGGGTCAAACCGCCAAATCCGTTCTCCGGAAGGGCCAGCGGTGCCTCTGCGGGAATGGGCGGTCGAGTGGTCAATCTGAGCGGTGCGAAGCCTATCAGTGCCATGACTGGATAAAGATGGCCCCTTACGGAGAGGAAGATTGGTCCACAAGTTCTTACATCGTGCGATGTGGGTAGATCCGATTGGGCGTGAAAATGGTGTTCCTGCATACGACACTCTGCATCTCTTCAAGGCGAACGTGGAAATTGCATAGCGTGGATGATACCCAGACTGTCTACGGAGTAGTTAGTTTTATATGAATATTAAATCTTCAAAAAAGCATTTTGCCGTCATTGCTATAAGATCAAATAAATGTGTACTGGACAACGGACTAGTCTCGAATCAGCATAGAGGGAGAGCGCCCAGCCATCTGAATTTGGCCTTTTCTTTGAGCTCATCGGAACACACAGCCCCAGGGTGAAACAGAGAGAGCCTATTAATAATTAGTTTGTCAAATCTAAAAAGCGAGTCGTGTTTTTGCAAGTCCCGCATGATCATGGGCCCATTCAAACTGCACAGATCTTTGAGCGCCGGCATGCAACAATGTCTCAGATTCTAAGACGGGTTCTACCCGGGTCTGCACGCCCGTTTTATGACAAGGGCTTTTTTTTTCCCTTCTTATTATTTTCGGTTTTCCTTCCCTTCCCAGGCATCAAGCTACTATGCCATTTTCTCTTCACACGGTTTTCAGAGACTTTCAGATCCACTCCGCCACGGCCGTCGCTCGTTAACTACTAACCTACTACAATTATCTGCCTGTTGCAATCCCCAGCCAAGCCATATTCGTTTCCCAAAATACCCTCACCATGCGCCTTAACTTCACGGCAATTCTGATCTTCATTAGCGCATGCATACACGGTGTCTGTTCTCTGTCCTGCGCGTCGGATTATGAGCCATGTTTTGCGAAAGGCGCAGACCGCGGTGCATCACCGCCCAGTATTGGAGATGACATGGTGGGGCTTTATACAGATTTGGTGGCCAGCGTGGAAGGATATTCGCTGAAGAGGGATGTTCTTTCAGTCGCGGACCCAAGTTCTCAAGGTATAGCGGCTGGTCTTTTGCAGCGTAGGGATGATGAGAGGGGTAGTTTATGCTGTGAGTTTGTCTAGCTTGAGAAGTAGAGCGCATGGCACGCATGGCGCGCCCCCCCCGTTCGCCCAGAAATTCGATCCTAACTTTAAGAAAAAGGCTGGTCGGGAATGCAATGTCTTCTTCTGAAAGGGCGCAAGATCTCATTCTGCTGGGTAAGAATCCACATCCTTCACACACTCTCTCACTCTCTTCCCCCTCCTCCCGGCGCGCCCCCACCTTTCTTCTCTTTCCTCACAGCGAGCCCCGACGGCTACCAACCGCAGCGTTGACCCCTTACCAGGATCGCTTCACGACGAATTTCTTCTTTCCGGACTCCTCTCACGGCTCCATAGCGACGGGAATTTACGTTACCTCATCCCAAGACACCGTTAACCTCATCCTCGGTAACTACACTCTCTCGTCTGGCGAAAGGGGAAACATATACTCGTCCTCTCCCGGCTCCAAGCCAAATCTCAGCACGCTACATCTGCCCAGCCAGTTCACCGCAAGTGGAGAGGGTACGGCCATTCCGGGCAGCGAGCTGGGCGCGCCGGCGGAAACAGCGACAGGACCAGGACAGGATGGCCCTCGACCAACACGAGCAACTGTGACAGTCACAGTCAGCGGTGGGGCCTCCGCGACGAAGTCGGCTGATGCTGCGACACTCAAAAGCTCTCAGTCATATATATCTGCTGTCATCAGTGCGATTCTTGCTGCCCTAGCAATGTGAAGAAGACAATAAGGGATACACCAGGATTACATCAAAGTCACCCCAGAAAAAAAAAAAAAGAAAAAACGAAAAAAAAAAAATTCCTCCCTTCTATAGATTAGTTACCCCCTAATCTACTCCGTAATGTACTCTTTTGATTTGAGATGAATACATTTATGAATAGATAAATAATGTCAGATAATTATACTCTGTACCTGTCATGAAAGATTCACCGACAAAGCACCCTGCAAGGAGGGCCAAAAAATAGAGATCTAAAAAGGCGCCTAACGATAACAATCCCAGCCACGGAGTCACCCAACTAAAAGGCAGCCAAGGAAAAAAAAGCCCCGGATTATGTAACTAGTTACCTAATCGCGGATTCGGAACCGGGGTAATAATGATCCGCCAACATTTTGAGGTGCTTGGAAGTGTTGATGGAGGACTTGTATGCTTGTCATTCACTAAGCTACCTAAAGGGGAATCTCGGCTAATCTATGTGGGTCACGTGAGTGAGGTGCTAGTTGGATTACCTAACACCCCCCATGCAACGAGCTCCAGCAGCGAGCGAGAGCCACAAAGATTCAAAGCTTCCAAATCTCTCAAATCCGCGATAAAAATTAATTACAGAATCCAGATTTATTCCTTCTTTAGGCTTAGCTCCGTTCGCCGCGATACCGTATTTTCGCTGGCTTCACTGATAAACCTCCATATTTTCCTGTATCAACTCGTCACCCCTATCGCGCTCACGGATTGAGCGTAGGGATCCATTGCAAGAGCCTTCGTGAGCCCGTCAGCTTTATTCGCGTCGGTTCCAACGTGCTCGATTGAGATTTCGTCCTTTTGAACCCAGTCTCTTAGCATATGGTGCCGAATCTCAATATGGCGTGCTCTTCGCGTTATAGCTTCAGCTTTGGCTAAGTCAACCGCTCCCTTGTTGTCAACACTTAATTTTGAGCTCCTTAGCTTTGCTGAGCCTTCGCTAATCACCCCGGCGTCTATCAACAGGTCGTTGATCCAAACTAGTTCACAAGCAGCTTCGCTAGCTGCCAAATACTCCGCTTCGGTCGTTGATTTCGAGACGGACGTCTGGCGCTGTGATCTCCACGATATTGGAGCTCCGTTCATGGTAATAATGTAGCCGCTGGTGGATTTGTACGCAGGGTCGGCTCCAGCCCAGTCAGAATCCGAACTGGCCGCCGGTTTCAAGCCTTCAGGATCCATATCCCTTTTGAAGACTATTCCTTTCGATTTTGTGCCCTTGAGGTAGCGTAGGATCTGCTTGAACGCCGCCCAGCTTTCCCTATTGGGCCTGCTGTTGAATCTCGCCAGATAATTGACTGCGAATGCAATATCCGGCCTCGTACACGTAACTAGGAACTGTAGAGAGCCCAGGCCTTTCCTGTAATTCGTAGGCGTAGCCTGCTCGTCAACTCCATCTTTGAGGGTCTGATCTGGCGCGAATTCGATGCTTATTCCTTTCTTCATTGGCGTTTTGGAAGGTTTACAGTCTTCCATTCCATATTCAGTCAGTAGATCCTCCTTTCTTCAGGTCTTTCTTGGGGATTCTGTGGAGGATATCCTTCAGTAGGCCTTCCAAATCCTTCTCCGGTAGGTTCGTTCCGCTCTGGCATGCCATATCAAATCGGTTCTGTATGAACTCTCTCCATCGGGACGTAATGTTCATCTTCAAGATATCGTGTAGGGTGTGGTCCAGTTGTTTGAACCCTAATCTCTCAAATTCCCCACGGATTGCTAGGAATCTCTCTATATAATTCCTTTCTGAGCCAGCGGACTGTGGTGTCATTCTTACTAACTCCGTAAGTAGGCTTTCCCGCTGTATCTCAGGTCTCTCTTGGAAGGCTGTCCTTACAGCTTCCCAGAGTTTGTAAGCACTAAGGCTATCCGATTCCTCGAAGTGTTCTCTGGCTTGTGCAGATATTGTGCTGTCGATTAGGCCGTGTAGCCAATTATTCTGAACATTCCAGTATTGTGAAATCTTCAAGCGCTCTGGCCGTGGTGAAGTCTCTTGCCTTTCCAGGATAATCTTCTCAACACCTACTTGGCGGGCTACCTTTAGGATGGCTTTGCTCCATGCTAGGTAGTTGCTGGCTCCAGCCAGGGTCATAGGCTTCTTCACCGTCTTCGTGATCTTCGTGAATTGGGTGATTGCTCTGCCGATTCGCGTATTTGTGTCTATAAGGTTGCCGACATATTCTTCTAGTTCCTCATCGGAGTCTATTTCTCGGTCCTCTTCTTCTTCTTGTTGAGCTTCGTGCTCTAGGTTCTCCTGCATTGTTGCAGGTGCGTTTGCGGTGCTTGCTTGGCCTGATAGGAGGTTCACTTGCTGTGCCAGCTGTTGTACTGTCTCCTGTTGCCTTTGCATTGACTCCTGTTGCCTTTGCATCATCTCCTGTTGATTCAGCATCATTCTGCGCAACATTTGGAGTTCACTCTCCTCCCTAGGCTCCTGCTCGTCGTTTGGCGGGCTGCCTCTGAGCCTACTCGACCGCCTAAGCTCGGTTTGGGGTGTAGGGAGGTTTGTTGGAGCTTCCCGGTCGGGAGTTCGGTGCTCCGGTTCGTCCGTACGGTTCACCATGGCTTTGGCGTTGCCAGGTGCTCGATTTGCTTGCTAGGTGCGTTTAGCAGGCGTTTCGCTCACTCTCTGGTCGCGTGCCAGAAAGCTACAGGGTTCAACTCGCTCTCCAGCTCGGTGCTAGAAAGCTACAGGGGTTTGCACGTATAGGAGGCGTCTATCTCGACGTACGCTCTCTTTAGTGCTCGTAAAACCTCGTTATCCACAAGGATAACCGTTCAGGGTGTTGATCGTAAGCTTCAATAACCAATTGAGCTGTAAATCAACCTTATACGCTTGCTCTTCAGCGCAAAGGGCTATAACCTGATGGAGGACTTGTATGCTTGTCATTCACTAAGCTACCTAAAGGGGAATCTCGGCTAATCTATGTGGGTCACGTGAGCGAGGTGCTGGTTGGATTACCTAACAAGTGTCCATGTGAAACCCCCCGCTTATAGCAGACCACATGGGCAAAAACATAAGGCCAAGTCAACCCCCCCAAGTTCAGTTATCTTTTTAAACATGTGTTTGTTTTTTATCTGCCAAAAACTCCGGAGTATGGGAGTACAGTGAGCTATGTAAGCTTCCACTAAACCGCATCCGGCTAGCCACATGCCGACCTCAGGCTCCAAAACCAGTCCCATCCCATCCATCATCCATCCACCCACGCCAGGCAACCTTTGGAGGTTCCCGCCCCGACCATGACCAAGCTCGATCCGACTGCACGACACACTAGTGTTGCGAAAGAAAACTGGAAACCGGTCACAGGGTGGCATCGATCTCCAATGCATCATGCCGAGCTCCCTCATCTCTTCACCGCACCCGAGTCAGATACCCACCTTGCACCTCTATCCTCTGATCATCCCAGGACACCACTGCTCCCTTTCCCTTCTCTCTCTCTCTCTCTCTCTCTTTTTTTTCTTTTGCTCCCATGCCGCACGCCGTGGCACGAGATTCGTCCAACCATGGGCAGCATACCACGCTGAACAAAACGCCCTGTCCTCTCCCCTCCACCCCCTGCAAGTGCCTGTCTCTTGGATTGCAACATTCCCTTCATGTCTCTTAAGCCGAGGTCGGGTTCCTGCTTATTGAATGGAGTGGGAACTCAGGAGAGATGCCTCCTCTGTTTGCACTGTTATACAGACCAATTGACGCCGCGTGGTGACGTTATCCAAATTGCTCTGATCCAGGTATCTCAGCCCTCTCTCCCATATAGGGCCTGTCATCCTCGTCATCTCTACTTCGTGCTGCTTGATTCGTGGTCACCCGCGTTATCCACCTGTTTATCGCGAGCGTATGCTCCGTTTTCCTGGTTTCCACGGAACTCTAGCCCTTCTCTCAGGCTTCGGCTTGTATTCATCGGAGCTGTCATTTTCGTACTCATTCGTTAGGGCTCTAACGTTGTGCCGGTTGAACTCTTTCAAGCTTATGGGTGATTTGGAGTGGAATTTTGGCTCCTACATACGTATACCCGCCCCGGAGTTCCGGGCTTCGGAAGGAAATTCCTTACCTACCATCCTGTATTTTCGTTCGCGTCACCGTGACGAATGCTCGGTGTGTCCATGATGGACCCACGTTTCCGCCCCGCGCCATAGCGTGGGGGAGCAAGATCTTCATATCACGCAGGATTTTGAAGGCCTTCCTGTTCACCACTTCTCTCCCCTAATTGTGCGTATGATGCCTTGTCATCATTCTCTTCTGGTTTTGCTCGCCGTCGTTTGCGTGGCCTCGCCACGGTGTTCAACCCCAATCTCCCAGCATACTTCCTCTATACAGTCATTTGCTATTTGCACAAAAAGCATGACGATGCAAGCATCTCTAGAGGTGTTATCGCATGGTTACATCAAATGTCAAGTCATACGGAAGAGTGGTTCTCTGCCCGGCATGACATTCCGTGTTGCTGCCGTCGAGCTTCGAGACGCCTAGTTAGGTATAAAGACCTTTGGCGAAGCCACTTCCCTTGGGTGTCTCTGGTTTCGTCTTCCCGTTATAATCAATCCAACTCCCCTGGACGTGCACATGCCCTTTTCACCATGAGCATCATGAAGATCGCCACACTCTTTTTTGCAGCACTTTCGGCCGTTGAGGCCGCAAAGCTGCTAACTCCCTCTGACAAGAGGGATATCGTTCCTGATTCCTATATTGTTGTGATGAAGGACAATGTTTCGCCGCTCAAGTTTGACTCTCACATGAGCTGGGCTACCAACGTTCACCATGCGAACCTTGCTAGACAAGGATCGACCGCCACTGGTGGCCTTAAACACGTTTACAGAATTGATGGTTGGCAAGGGTACAGCGGATCATTTGCCCGAGAGACCATTGATAGAATCCTCGAAAATGACGATGTCAGTGATATTCGAAGTTTGCTTGACAGTACCCTCCTTCTAACCTGACCTACGGAGCAGGTTGACTACGTTGAGCCTGACCGCCGCGTTCATTTGACTGCTCTAACAACCCAGCCAAATGCACCATCTTGGGGTCTCGGGAGAATTTCACACCGTAACAACGGAAATTCGAATTTCGTTTATGATGACAGGGCTGGCGAAGGCATCACTTTTTATGGCGTGGACACGGGAATCGATATCAACCATCCTGACTTTGGAGGCCGCGCTGTTTGGGGTACCAACACCGCAGGTGGATCGGACAGTGATGGTCATGGCCACGGAACCCACACGGCAGGGACTGTCGCAGGAGCTTCATACGGTATTGCCAAAAAGGCCAAGTTAGTCGCTGTAAAAGTCTTAAGTGAGGGAGGTACTGGCCAATGGAGCGGCATCATCGAAGGTATTAACTGGAGCGTTAATCATGCGCGCGCGAACAACGCTCTTGGAAAAGCTGTCATGAACATGTCCCTTGGTGGGAGACTTTCCACCTCTGTGAACCAAGCTACCACTAGGGCCCAACGCGCCGGTATTTTCATTGCGGTTGCCGCTGGAAATGAAGATGTAAGTAACACCATGCCATGAGTTGCTCTACAGGTACTTAGCCATCCGTACAGAGCGATGCGGCAAACACTTCACCGGCCTCTGCTGAGGATGTCTGCACTGTTGCTGCCTCAACTGAACAAGACGGCAGGGCGTCTTTCTCCAACTGGGGAAGTATGGGTAAGTTTCTTCTCTGAGAATTTTTAGTTTATCAAATGTCCCTGCTGTGCTCATGAATTGCTGTAGTCGAAATTTATGCCCCGGGCACAAATATTGTCTCTACGACTCCGGGAGGAAATACCGGGAAAATGTCCGGAACCTCCATGGCCGCTCCCCATGTTGCTGGTGTTGGCGCAGCTATTATGGCCTCCGAAGGCATTTCCCCCTCCGAAGTTTGCTCCCGCCTCGTAGAGATTGGGCTAGAACAGATCAGCAATCCTGGGAGTGGCACAACAAACAAGCTCCTTTATAATAACAGCGGTCGTTAGCCGTGCATTGCCCAGCAGGAGAAAGACCTTCTTTTTTGTTTGACTCTCTTGCTTATTTCTATCTACAACAGGACTCGTTTTAAAGGCAAATATTTTTATTAGTCGGAGGCTTGAATATCCATGCTTTACTTGCACAAATTTAGTTACCTTTCAGCAACCGGAGTTTTCGCCATTTAAATGTCAGTATAAAAACGTACCTTTGGCATCAATTTCTTGTAGCACATTCGCGTTCCCGATCTTGCCAGTATGATACAAACATCCAACATTTCACCACCACGATGTCAAGCCCAAATTGACTAGGTGGTTATATGCTTGCTGAAAGACCAGTCTAAGTGGCTAACACCCCGCGATGAGAACGCAGGCCATCATGGACCGAGTGCTAGAATGAAAATGAAAATTGCTTTTAGAAGGCCCCAAACTCAACTCATGATAGGCTGAAATGGCATCTACACCACGTATTCATCCCAATCGTAGCGCGTGACACGTATTTCCAGGAAGCCGATGGACAGCGAGCCGCAAGCCTGGCAGGATTTCGTAAAGACCTAGGAATGAATAGAATAAAATGGGGGAACTACAAAACGAGAAACTATCGGCGCTTTGGCTCTGGGTTGGTCTACCGCGTGATACCCTGAAACATCTTGCCAGTTAATCAGCAGTTATTGTATATACTCCCAGTCCCGATGAACACTCTCCTATGGCAAATGAGATTGGTCCAAAATCAAGAGAGAGGCGACATGAAATGCCAGGCATATCCCGTTCTTGGCATTTCTCTTGACCGGCTAGAGATGCGATCAGATATAATTACTCTCCCCTATGGTGAATCGAGACAGAATCGCTGCCGCACCTTCAGACCATATCCATCAATGCAACGAAAGCGTAGAACAGGCAGACGCTGTGTCCAATCTAAGACACTATGGGATAAATTTACATACAAAATCTATGGAACGCTAGCTGGAAAAGGCACCATGAATATGCAGAGCTGATCGAACCCCAAAGGGTCAATCAGTGCGTCAACGACACAAACGATTTGAAAGACAAAGACAACCGCATGTCGATATGCCTTGCGAAGAAAAGTTGCGAAGCCCTAGCAACTAGAGATGCCAGCGTATCTATAAAGGTCTAGGGGTATTTCAGAAGAAAACGGATCTCGTGATGGCCAAGCAAGCATAGCTTGCAAGAGATAAAATCCGCAGAGGCCTCCTCTCGGACAGAAGGCAAGAATTAGTCGAATAATTTCGTCATGGCTTTATGTGCGAGTTCAACACCCAAGCTATAAAACGAAACCTACGTTAGCTTAACGGTGCGAAAATGCGGTGGGGAAATACACGTACAAAGTGGCAGCATTGGCGGGGACGGCTCGAGCCAGCGCCGGCCCGAAACCAGGGAAGAAAGCTTTGAGGCCTCCGCTGGCGTACACTCCGCGGATGGTACCTCCAATCGTAGGACGACCCTCAGCACTCTGTAAGCGAGACTTGATGGTATCAACTGGGAACACAGGAATCCACATTGCCACACCAGCGGCACCGCCAGCAGTGAGGATGGCCGTAAGCGAGAGTTCACCAGTAACATTGCCGTTCTCATCCTTTGGCGTCAAGCTGCGCTTGATATACTCGTATGCAGCGAAGTATGCGGCAGAACCTGGTCCATCGCGAGCCAGGGTCATGGCGCTTCCCCGGAAAACGCTTCGAATACCGCCCTCTTTGTACAACTGCCGAACCACATCAACACCACCGGAATACTTGGGCTTCTGGCCGGCAGGTGGTGGGTTTTGTCCTTGAATCTGGAGTAAAACCTTGACACGCTCAAATGGCGCTGTGATCAGAGTCATGGGAATAGCGGAGAAGAAGCCAGCTGCGGAAATCTGGGCAATGGAGAACTGGGGGGTGCCATTGATCTCGGGGACAGTGGAGAAAGAGCGGACGAGGGTTTTGCCCAGATCGTATCCCTGAATTTCGAGCGTTAGAAAAGGGTGCAAGTCAGAGTCACTATCGGTTCGGAGCGTGCAAACCGTACCCAAAAGCTAACAGCAACTGTAACCTCTGTCAGCGGAGAGTGTTTTGGTGTGAAAGCAACACTGGTGGAAGGAAATACATACACATCGGCGTAACTCCAACAAGCGGCGCTGATACGCCAGCATACAGACCCTAGAAAGGAGCGCGTTAAATCTTAACCACCTCTGGCAAAACTCCAGCAGCAGCGCTAAGGCAAAAGCTCACTCTTGCAAGGCCTTCCCGCGCAACTGTCTTCTTTACAACATCGATGGCGCCGGAGTAAACCCCCCTTTCCGCGGTTTGCAGTCGTACCTTCACGAGATCGAAGGGATGACCGACGACGACAGCGCACACTCCGCCAACACCACCCGCGACAAAGGACCGCACCTGCGCGAGGGTGGCGTTAACACCAGCCTGCGCTTCTTTCTTGATCTCGCTTGCCGCCGGAGCTTGCGCGGATATGGCTGGTGAAGTTGTACTCTCTGCCATCGTGATATGTCAAAGTAAAGGAGCCGAAAGGATCCGGAAACGACACAAAACAAAAAAAAGTTGAAGAGCGGAAAGGTGTTTCTGAAGGCTGTTCGTGAAAGAGTTTTGGCGGGCGGGAGGATGGTTCACAGACGGAGGAGGGGGACTCCGTGGTTGAATCTGCAGGATAGCGACAGAGGAGCCGTCACACGGGGGATGGTAAAAGTGATCAGACCTTCTCTTTCGCTTTGGCCCTTCTTCTCTTCGTCGACAGCCTGTTATCCCGTGCGAGGATTATTCCCTTTTTTTTTTTTTTTTGGTGGTGGTCTTGATTTTTTTGGCCTGTGATCGAGCATTGCTGCGGCGGCCGGAAAGGCGAACTTCCACTCGCGCGTGAACCTCGGCTCGGTATCGGAACAATGCACTCCCGAGTGGCGTTAGCTGACTAAGCGGTCGCGGCAAATCTATGATCCGAAATAGCGGAAAAGGGTTAACTAATATTCCGGTCCTATTTTCGCGCTCTCTAAAAACCCGCCCCCAAAGCGAGGCTGAAGGAAGGGATATTTGCTGGGGGATGACGGTAGCAGAGCACTACGATCAGCTATGTACATTAATTAATATCCTGAGGTAGACGCTGTCTCCATCGCCTTGGGTCCGTGACACGTCATGTCAAAATTGAGCTCGTCCACCGCGACATATCCGAGGACTGGTTTGTATCCCACGCATCACTCCAAATTAGAGAACATACACTCCTCTATCAGTACGTGGAACCTTCCATCCAAGATACAAGGTTCATCTTGATGCGCGCGCCCATGAGGTCCAGTTCGGATTCAATTGCGTAAGCTCCGTGACGCTACTCAACTTCGAAGCTTCCCGGTGCAATACACGCACGTATCAAACGTGCTTAACAGCCGTGTGAGTAGTCCTGTATGCCCGTCATCTTTTGATAATTGCCCCTTTTCCACAAGCCGCGCATGGTCCAGGTACTCCGTCTCGCATCTGCTGCAGCGATTCGATATAAATGGGTCCTGGATCGATAGGAGTGTTACACCACAGCGAACTGCACAATAGAGAGGGTCAATAACGAGGATCGTCACCAAAGTTCCTCATGCTAGGGGATCGAAATGCTAACGTACCGAAAATATGGCCCTCGTGACATTGGGACTCTGTAGCAGAATACCATTCTATTCCGCTGCCACATATTTCACAGGTTTCAAAGACTTCGCTAGCAGGGCCACCCGCCTCTTCTGCGGCCTTAGCGGGTACGGATCTAAAAAGAGTGCCATCGTCATAGTTCGATCCAATCTCATCCAAAAGCGACTTTTCCGTGGTAAAGTCAAGGCTAGTACTTTCTTGTAGCCATGCTATTGCCGATTTAGCGCGGTTCAAGAGTTCACCGTCATAACTAGATTGTATTATCACACAGCAGGAGGCGGCGTATTGCATCTTCTTAATCCAACGGTCATCTGGCAAAGACCGATGGCTCTCATCAAGTATATAATTTAGGACCTTTCGTCTCGCGTTCTCGGCGTGGCTTTGATCCAAGACTGGAAAATTCCACGGCATTCCGGGGCTGGTGTGATCACGATTGTGTTCACTGAATGGAGAGAATACGATACTTAGGCGTTCGTGTGAAGGGGTTAGATGCTCTACCATATCAGTAGGATGTATGGTAAAACACACCGCCGTCCACCCATGATAAGTAGTCAGACCCCATATCCTCACAGCTGACATCCCACCCAAGTCGTTGTCCAAATCGAATCGGCTGCGAAAACTTTCAATCTGTCTTTGCCACTCAGCTTTACAGGCTTGGGCGGTGCCATCTATACCCTGGGCGTCTTCTTGATCTCTGGATTGAAGCTGATAGCAGCCGACAGAGGCCGAGAGACTAGCAGCACTCGAAAGAACGGAGTTTGACGTGGCATCGTATATCGAGATTATTCCTTGTAAACTTAGAAGTGCCGCGATTATCAAGGAAGCCCGGGATATTTCATACCAGTTATAGAAGACCAGTCTTCGAGAGCAGAATCTGGGGTCGCAACACCGAGATATCGTTGCGACACACTACATTTTAAGAATCCTTGACCTGGCCTTTGACTTTCAACCGGATCCTGGAACGCGAGTGTAGATACACTGCCGAGTCTTCCTACAAGCAGACCTTGAGCTACCCGCCCATCCTAGCAAGCTGTCAGTCCAAACAAAAATAGGACGCAAATAGGCTTGGGAAGATGGTAGCGTTCCAACCTTGTAGATCCACGTTATAGGGCCCGTAAATTCTGTCCCTTTCACGATATCTGTGTCCGCATCGATATCAAGCTCAAGCATTCGTATATCCCACAAGTCCCATCCTGTATATTCGACATATTTGCAATTGGCTTGCAGCCGCAATAGTCTAAGCTCTGAGCCATAAATGAGGCCCAACATAGATTCTAGGCATAGAGTCCCATCTTCCTCCGGCGGGGGCGCTATATTCCAAGACTTGCATGCCATGTGCCTTATCAAATTCTTCCCTTGTAATGACCTTGCAAATAGCGAGCTGGAATCGATGCTCGGAAACATATTTCGCGTAGGGTTGAGCAAAAAATGGGAGGCGACCACTATCCAGGAGTTCGAGTTTGTCTCATGAGGCCGAAGTCTGAGCAGAACAATATCGCCCGCATCGTTTGCAACCACTAATAGATGGACTCCCCATTTTCTTGGTCCATTTGCAGCTTCAGAGTCATCCACTGGCCCTTTATCATACTCATTACACGGTGCGGTCCAGGTAAATGATCGAATCCTCTGCTTCCTCTTGAGCAGATCATCGTCGTTATCGACAGAGGCCCTGAAATATTCTTCCAGCGACGAATTCACGACTCCAATCCGCGCCCATTTTCCTGCCCCATCTGTCGCCTCCCACAACGATAAGAGCAGATTACTCGTCAAAACGCCCAGCATGCAACGCTTGTATGTTGCGAGGCCCGGCGCTGACCAGGACACAGCAGTAACATGGCTGAGGGATTGCTCCTCACCAACCGAGAACACGCGTCCAGCTTGTGGCATCAAGAGAGGCCATTCGTCCTGTGTGAAAATGTTGACACGGATTTTGGTGATTTCCCATTGTGAGTTCAGGCGTGGAAGCGTAGTCTGCTCCTCTTGCCGTTGGGTGGAGAATTTGGGTGTCTGTGAAGAGCGTCAGTGGAACATGTTACACTTCCGATCTCGCCTCTGCAGGCATTCTCCAGCGCGTGTCACTCAAGGGAAACATGACGGCTCACCAAGAGATGTACATTTTCTCCCGCAGCAATAGCGAGTTCACCGTCTGTAGACCACGACGCACAGCCATAACATGAAGGATACGCGTTCAATTCCACAGGATCCAACATGATGATAACGAATTTTGCAGCTTCACACGCCCTTGTCTGTCTGTTCGGTCTCTGGTTCTCGCCGCGTTCACGGTCGGTCAAGCAGGATTTCGAGCAGCAACCATTACGGAGATTGAAGGGGAGCCCGTAATTTGGATATCAACGATGACGACTTCACCAGTATAGCGATGTAGCTTTTCAAGTAGTTAAAACTACCACAGGTCAATAGCAACGACTACTCCATTTATTCTATAATGCCAACCTACACAACACTCTTAACTCTTGCCGTGCGGGAAATTCAGCTGGTTATACATTTTGTGGGTACTTTGATGGATAAATAAATATTTCCTACTCAAAAAGTGTTGACCTTGGACTGGGTGGCATTGAGAAACCAATGTCCCAAAGAACCCAATCCAAGGTTTGATCATTGACGACGATTTAGCTAAAGGATCTCGAAAGTATGGGAGAGCCACAACGGGGCAGACGCCGGAAGAAGGGCGCCGAGCTGAATTTACTGGTATGTCTGGAATAACAAATTCAATTCAAACCCGGGCTCGAGGTTTACTATGGGCCACACACTAGTTGAAGTCTTATAGGGAGTAAACAGCTTGTTATTCCCTGTCATCAAGGAGAGAACGACTGGTATCTACCTCAGTATACGCAGGTTATATACTTCTCGCCAAAGCCACGGTGGAATGAACGAGTCCTATCAGTCTCGTTCAGCTCGTAGAATTAAAGACTTTCCTACCCAGGAGAGGAGTGATATCCGTATACTAAAAGCGAGTATGAGGAATTCCATGCGAAGGTTGTTGTCTGCAATGGGGAGGCTGTGTCAACTAAACAGATAAGCCGAGGCTGCTAGGTTGACAATCTGGTTATCCCTCATGGAATGTTTTGAAGGATCGCTCGGACGAGGGTGCCTCAGGAGCATTACCCGTGTAGTCAATTGAATACGGACATATGATCTTGGGAGGGAGTAGGTGGGACCGAGGGGGGGTTTCCAGGTCTTCGGGTTACTTGGGCCTGTGGGAGCTTTGCAAGCTCCAGAGACATTACATGATTTGCGCCTGGGCAAGCATCAGGACGCCACTGGGCCGTTTCTATGCGTGTTTGGGGCTGTTGGATGCGCAGAAGGCAAGGACGCATTTACCCCAGTTCCCAGAGGCGCCGTAGAGGGCTCTTGAGGAGCCAGTTGCAGAGGCGGCAAATAGGTCGGTTCCGTTGCAGTGTTGGAGGGTGAAATAGATTCAGGAGTCTGCCCAATAATATTCATAATAAACTCGATTCGATCGTCTCGAGGACGACTAAGCAACGCGATATACGTCTCACTAGCGAACGGGTCCTGGAGAGCCTTTAAAACCACGCAATATTTGGAGAAGGGAATGCGGCTCGTTTCCCCGTCTCTCCAGGAGGCAGGCAAAATTAGATCCATCTCCTTCAGGAACTCAGATGACGCTCTTTGATATGGTGGTATTAATGCGGCTGCAAGCTCTCTTGCCGGTTCGGCCAGTGCATCTCCCGATGTCAGTATATCGCCCGCCGTCAATATACCGGTTCCTAGGTTATTTGCTCGAAGTCTCTTTTGGGATTGATCGGCCGCGGTCGCTGGGGCGGAATCGGTCGCAGATCTCTTTTGGATGGCAGGTATTGCAGGTGCTGGCAATGGATAAGTGTTATTCGCAGTGTCCACATGTCCGCTCGGCAGTGTTGGGTTTTCCGCAGGGCTGATGGTCTCCGGGCGGTCAGCAGGAGCGACTTCGCGCTGACCAGATTGCGGTTGGACGCGCATCATCCTGGTGCCGTAGGGCCTGGGGACATAGCCGCCCGGCAAGATGCGTTCGATCATGTCCTTGTGCATCAGGCCTTGGTCGCGAAAGACTTCCATCTCAGGGTGGGCGTTGAAATAGACATCCATAACCTCGCGTTGGTTTACAAAAGCCTCGCGCGCGGGATCCCACGTCCAGTCGGAGGTACTCGCTTTGTGCTGTTCCCAGAGCTTCCACGTCCTTTTCATCTTCCTCCAACGATTCTCACAGATTTCCCTAGTCATTGGCTGCTTGGTGAGCTCCTGGACCTTGGAAACGGTGATTTCCCATCCTCGGATCCTAAAATTCCCGTTTCCCTTATCAAGCCCCTCCCCCTTGGCCTGGATTAGGCCGTTCAATAGAGCTCTGTCCATCGTCCAAGTCCATACCGTTCGTGCACTCCTGAGCCGGGCCCTCGACTGTCTTTCTGTCTGCGGGTCGTCGAGGCCCGGCTGGGTTCCCGTCGCGTCCTGTGGCTCGTCTGAGATTCGGCATTCAGCGCCGGCGTGATTCGGGGAATTATCCATGATTGCGGCCAAATTTAGGGGATAACCAAGAACCACACGGATATTCCTGCAGCTTTGACTGTCGTGTGGGTTTTGGTCTGCGAGCGTGTTGCGAGAGAGAGGATAGATACACAGGGAGAGTAGAGAGAGAGTTTACAGGTGAAGTTAAATTTATTTCGCTGGGTCGAATTGTTATTTCGCTCCAAACCGGCATGCTAGCGTGAACTTTTTGGGACCATCGCTTGTGGATGGTCTGGGAAGATGTAACCATTCATTAGTACACACTAAAAGAAGGGACAGGAATATTTATATTTATTTTTCTATTGAGAACATAGCTACTGCCTTCATTAAGATGTCAGTCCCAGAAATTCCCCGGCGACAGGGTCCCACTCGTCATCCCATCGTCTTTTACTGGCGTTTCTCGCGCCCTGTCGAAGCCATTGCAGCTGGGATCTATCTTCGCCAAGGAGATCGATTAGATGACGAGAAAGCTCTTCAGCGCTGCCAAATCCTTTCCCGTCGACACCCTCGGTTATTAGTTCTGGCCATGCCTGGTACCGGTCCCATGCAACTACGGGTAAACCGGCGCCAAACATATCTACGACTTTCATCGGTAGATCGACGCCGCTACTACTGGTATGCAAACACACACCTAGGGAAGAACATGCAAGTAACTTCGCATAGTCCTGTATCGTAAGCCAGGCGCATTGTATGTGTATTTTTCGCAGCTTCCCTTCCGCTGTCAGAGCTGCGATGGCGCGGAGGTACGTGCGCTGTAGCGGCCCTTTGCCAGTAATGATGACATACAAGTCGGGGAGTTTTGCATCCACAGTGGCAGCATGGGTCGAGTACTGGCACAATGCATCTAGAAAGATCGAGAAATCTTCGTCTTGGGTCCATGATGTCGAGCTAACAAGTAGCTCGCACTGCCTGCCCGCGCGATAAGCTTTTACGAAGTTTTTTGTTTCCGGAAGAGAAGTTAGAAAGGCAAATTTCTCATCTTCCCTGACAATCGGCTGAAACAGCTCCGGGGGCCGGTCATGTAACACTAGTATAGGCGCAACTAAATTGATTTCTTGTTGAAGCATCCTCGCCATGGCTTTGCTGACACAAAAATGGGCAGTGGCGAAACGACAGGCTGTCATTTCGTGAAACCGAAGGAATTTGACCATTGGATGGCGCGGTCCTAGCTTCATTGCGAGGATGGAGTATCCGAAATTATGCCAGTCAATGATCAGTCGAGTATTGCGGAGCCAACAAGCAAGTTGGGCCATGACGAGGGTCGGGACTGTGGGCGGGTTCTGGCGTTGAGAGAGGGTAGCAACTTCAGTCTCTTGGAATAGAAGGACACCAATGCAAAATTCACACGAAAGTTCGGTTCCCGGTTTAAGCTACGACGAGAAGCTAGTCGCTTACCTGGATGAGCATCCATTGGGCGGGCTTGGAGCGGTACACGAGAGCGCTCCACAGGAACCAGGTCTGCTGGAGAACCTTCAAGACCGCCAGTAGAGGAAAGAGTACATTATTCTTTGTCTGCAGCATTTTTGGAGGGGGTGGGAGGGCAACGATGGAGACAAGAGGGTTCGAAAGGAGCTCCGGCTTCGGTGGAGATGCTGGTAGAGGGATTTTGTTAACATATGCAAACTCGGTAACCGTCATTCGAGGCGGGAGCTTACTCTGATATCCTATTATCGTAACGCGGCCACCGTGTTTCGCGACGCTCTCGGCGTGGTACTGCATTCTTGGGCTATGCCCAATATCGCCAAGGACAACGATCTGAACAGAGATCGAAGCTTTCTTCGCATCTGAGTCTGATGCTCTCGCCCTACCTATGGGAAACACCCAGACCAGAGCAACTGTGGTCGCGAGGAACAGGGAGAGGCAGGCGATCACCAGCGCCTGGAGGACGGCCATTGGCAGCAGGGAGCAGGTAAATTGGCAGAAAACCCAGGGGCTCTGTCAGGACCTGTGTTTTATCTGGTCAACAGACAGCATCATGGCTCCCGTTCAGCCATGTCGAGTGGAGAAAAAGCAGAAGCAGAAGAACAGGCGACGACGACAAGCGGCGGTCGATGGGCGGGATGATGGCCTGGCCGGAAGGGGAATGGTGCGCTGGCAGGGCCAGGCGATAAGCAGCCTTGGCATCTCTTGGCACAACTCCCCCCCTGAAAACGCAGAGCAAAATCCTAACAAACAGGGCCTGACCATCGCAACGCACGGCATCTCACCGGGCCACCGGCAGACACAGCAACAGCAGGAGGGGACACCCTGGTCTGAACTCTCTTCCTCGCCATGGGCGTCTGATTCCACATTCCTGTTGCCTCTGTCTCCTGGTTCATGTCCTCAACTTCAACCCCAATCCTGATCACCAATGAGCTGATGCACGATTGTTTCCTCTGTTTTCCCTCCTACAAACAAGGCGATCCTGGATATCCCTCCCTCCTGCTGGCTTCCCTATGATGGAGGATGTCCGCCACCCTAATTCCACCGGTCACCAATGGTGTCCGCAGTGGACGACACCATCACCATCATCAACATCATGGCCGCTCGCATAAGCGAGTGCAACCCCTCTCCCTCTCTCACCAACCGCAGCCATCCCCCTCCCAGGCCGACCTCCTCACTCCTCCATCCCACGGCCTCCCTTCGACTCCTCGATCACCGTTGTTCAGTGGCCTCATAGATGTGATGGAGAAGGATACAGGCCTCCCGTTTCATGACAGCGCCTCCTCTCCTGAGGTGACAGTGCTGTCCGAGAAACCTACCGAGCATACTGCCAAACCGCCACCGGAACACAAACACCCTTCGAGGATATCGCTGCGACTGTTGAAGGCCTCTGAGAAATGGCCGCTGTTACATGCAATCCTGAAGGAGAGGGACTCGCGACGTATCTTCTATTTTATGAGGTTTCTTCACCCCCCCCCCCCCAAACACTCTTTCTTGCGTTGGCATGGCTGCTGACACCCGCTAACACATCGATCACCGTCTCAGCCTTAATTTTTCCTTCATGGTGGTCCAGTTGCTTTATGGAATTACAACCGGGTCACTGGGCCTTCTCAGCGACAGCATTCATATGCTATTCGATTGTTTTGCGTTGGCTGTCGGCTTGTCTGCTGCAGTCATGAGCAAGTGGCCCCCGAGTGCTCGGTTTCCCTTCGGCTATGGGAAGGTGGACACCCTTGCTGGCTTTGCCAATGGAGTTTCGTTGCTGTTAGAGATATTCCAATCCGAACTTAATAGTTGCAGACCCGGCTGACGCAGACCATCAGGATCATTAGCATTGAAATCATATTCGAGGCATTCGAGAGACTAATCTCCGGAAGCGAGCTTAATCGCCTTGGAGAACTTTTTATCGTTTCGACGCTCGGCCTGATCGTGAACATGGTTGGCATTTTGGCCTTTGATCACGCACACCATCACGGACATGGCCACTCCCATTCGCACGGTGACCATCATCATGAGAATATGCACGGAATCTATCTCCACATTCTTGCAGATGCATTAGGGTCCGTTGCTGTCGTTGGCTCAACCGTCCTGGTACACTTTTTTGGCTGGGCTGGCTTCGATCCTATCGCATCCTGCATTATTGCCGTCCTTATCTTTGTCTCCGCCATTCCCCTCGTCAAGACCACGGCCAAGACTCTTCTTCTCGCTGTTCCCGCGGACGTTGAGTATAATCTCCGCGATACCCTTGCCGGCATCAGTACCTTGCGTGGTGTCGCGGGATACACTGTGCCTAAGTTCTGGCTTGATGACACACAACATGACAAGAAACACGGACATGGTCATCATCATAATCATCATCATCGGCACGGTAGTACCCCGAGCCACGCCCGTGACTGCAACGATCATACTCATTCTCACGGCGAAAAGGAAATGCAAAATATCTTGGGGGTTATCCATGTCATCGCTTCCCGAGGTACGGACATGGCAGACGTTCAGCGCAGGACTATCGATTACCTCCGCGAACGTAATATGGATATTCTGGTGCAAGTGGAACGGGAAGGCGAAGGTCGGTGCTGGTGCGGAGGGGGCAACAAATTCATCTCGTAGGTTCATAGTCTCCCGGGTGTATGGAGTATCCTATGGAACATATTTCTTTTGTATTCAACATGTTTACGTTGGGGGGTTGTCTTTTTAGTGGGGTGGTTGGTACCTTGGGGTCTCGGTTAGTATCTTGTATAGGATAGAGTTGATGATGGACACCACCCAGTAAGAAACGGATTCCTACCTGGGGTTGGAACTATGGCTTGGTGCGAAGTACACAATAACCTATAAATCAATACATAATGGCGTGACATGCGGATGAGGCTCAAAAAATTAATGCGAAACAAGAAGCTGGTATTTAAACTGGTATCAAAAATATGCAAGTCGCCAAACAAACATCGTATATACATGCGGATTCAGAATTTTACCCGGGTTAGACGTTAAAAGGAAATCTTTTGGTGTATTGTCCGCTCATTACCTGCAAAACAAAACGTAGTCATTACACCTTTTCCACTCTCTGCACAATAATGGCGGTAGCAGCACCGCCACCATTGCAAATCGCAGCGCAGCCATATTCACCAGGTTTAAGTTGGTGGAGCAGAGTCGTCAGGATACGTGAGCCGGAGCTGCCGAGGGCATGGCCGAGGGAGATGGCACCACCGAGAGGGTTGACGGTCGCGTTTTCGAGACCGAGAATCTTAAGAAGGAAGTGTCAGCATAGAGTAAGGTGGAAAAAAGAAAAAAAAAAAAAGAAAAAAAAAGGGGAGAGGCCAAAACGCAGGGGCAGCGTTACCTTCTCATTGGCCTTGATCACGGCGGCAAATGCCTCGTTGAACTCCCAGATAGAGATTTGATCCTTGGTGAGACCGGCTCGCTCAAGGGCAATGGGGACAGCCTTTGCAGGTGCAACCGGGAAGTCGATGGGATCGATAGCAGCATCAGCGGATGAAACAATGCGAGCGAGGACCCGGCTTCCGGAACCGTACTCGCGGGCAAGGGCTTCGTTGGTGATGACGAGAGCGGATGCGCCGTCATTCAGAGTGGATGCGTTGCCGGCGGTCACAGTGCCGGTACCATCACGGACGAAAGCGGGTTTGAGGGCGGCCATCTTGTCGGCGCGAAGATCTTCGAAACCCTCATCGCGGGAAATGACGACCTCGCCCTTTTTGTTTTTGACGGTGACGGGGGCAATTTCATCGGCGAATTTGTTCTCTTTCCAGGCAGCCTGGGCGCGTTGGTAGGAACGGATGGCGTATTCGTCTTGGTCCTGTCGAGTGATGTTGTATTTCTTCGCAGTGTTCTCGGCACACACTCCCATGTGGAACTTGTTGTAAACGTCCCACAGGCCATCCTTGATCAGGCCATCTTCCATCGTAGCATTTCCAAACGGAGCCTGTTGGCTGGCGCGCGGGAAGTAGTACGGCACGCGGGACATGTTTTCCATTCCGCCGGCGACCTGGGCCTCGGCAAGACCGAGCTGAACGTTCTGGGCGGCGAGAACGACCGCCTTCATGCCGGACGCGCAGACCTTGTTGATGGTGAGGGCCTCCACGGTTGGGGACAGGCCGGCGAACATGGATGCTTGCCTGGCAGGGGACTGTCCGATAGAGCCCTGAAGGACGCAGCCCATGTAGACATCTGTAATTTTCTTGGCAGGAACCTTGGACTTCTCGATGGCCGACTTGATTGCCACAGCACCGAGCTGTGGAGCGGAGACGCTCACGAATGAACCGTTGAACTGAAAAGCCGGTCAATACACTATTTGTGCACAATACAAGACAGATAAAAAGAAGAGAGAGAGAGAGAGAGAGAGAGTGTGTGTGTGTGTGTGTGTGTGAAACGGGACGGGCGAACGGCACCCCCCGGGGGGAGAAGAGGAAGAGAGCAAGGCATCATACCTTCGCAGTGGGCGTCCGTGCAGCGCTGAGGATGTAGGTATCCTGGATTTCTTTCCGGCGCGCAGCAGATGAAGTGAACTGGCGCTGGACTTGGGCCAGTCTCTGTGTTGGCTTTGGCATGGATCCCAGGCGGACGGCCGCTCTCAGTGAGGGGTGCATTATTGCGGATGAGTGGAGAGACCTGGGTAAAACAGGTAAGAATCTATGAACGGCGAGGCTGTTCAGGGAAGAAAGACGAGAGGGAAGGGAGAGAGGACGGGAGCGAGGAGATGAGGGAGAGAGGACGAGGAAGAAGGACGGATGGTCTGTCCGAGAGTACCCGCCCACCTCACCGGCCACGCGCTTTTCGCAGCAGTTCCGCGCAACACCCCCACAAGCCACAGTGGCCATCGTCCGGCTTCCCGCCCCTCGGGATTCGGCACTTCGGCTCCGAAGACGCGGAAAATTCCCCGTGATGCTGATGGACCACATTTACTCCGCAAATATTATCCATCGACACACCGGCATGTCAGTCCTAAAATATGTACTAATTATAGGGAGTTGCTACGGGAGTACTCCGTGCTTAGGGTGCGATAGAGCCTTGCAGATCTTCTAGCTCTTTCAGTCTCGAATGCACCTGGTTTGATTTGAGAGACGAGGCATTACGTCTATGGGCCTTGTGGGGGTGGAAGGCCGCGGCCTGTGACGAGGACATTAAATGGCTTCGTGCAGGAATTACACAAATCTCATTGACTAGAGTCAAAGGGCTTTTGAACCCGGAGTGTGCAGAGGAGCCGGAAACTCGCCATACTGGAGAAGACGAGTAACAGAGCTGGGCTGGGAGGCCAAATCTCACTTTGGGATGTTGTGATGTCTGAGGAGAAGATTCTGCTGATCGAACTCGTTAACTTTATAAGGCAAATTTCTATTTCCGAAAAAGCTATCTTGGATTAAATGTCATCAATGAAGATTATAAAAAAACACATATCCAAGCAAATAATTCCATGGTGAATCACAAAGCGACCGCTGAAGTATATGTTAATGGCCCGTCTTTACGCCCTTAAGTACTGTACGACTGAAGGACGGGATCTAAATTTTGGTATACGTATGCTAAAGTTATAGACTACGAGCCTCTATTTCTATTCCTCGGTGCCGTTGGGCTGAGTCACTTCAATTATTCTACCTTCAAGCTTTGGTGCAATCACCCGAGTCCACGGCGGAAGTGTATCGTTTTGTGCCTCTTCCACAGTTTTCACTTTTGCATCTTCCAATCCAACTTTCTGACGCCATCGACGCAGGACCTGTCGTGCCAGATACTCCCGGTGGTCGGCATCATCTGGCGACGTAGCCAGCTTCGTCACGTAGGTGCGCGGGCGCGAGAGAATGTCGGCCTCCGAGTCAGATTCCGTGTCCATAAGGCTTGCATCGCTGTCGTCTTCTTGACCGGATGAGGAGGTACGAGCCCCCGCAGTGGCAGCCTTGAGCCGTCTGCGAGCGACATAGTGGAAACTGGGAGTGGGCGAGGGGCTTCTCCCTGTGATGGGCGATTTCACTTTTGCTTTAGCCGACGCCGTGGTTGTAGGGGATCTAATCCAGCCTTCACAATGTAGTTGCTGGTGTACATTTTCCCAGTGTCGATGGAGACTTCGGCTAAAGCGATGCCACTTTCCGAGGACCTTCAAACTAAGGAAATACTGTCGGAGGATGGTACTAATCAATAATCCATCTTCTTCGGAGACCACTTCCTCTGCATCGCCGCCTTCGCTTTGAACAAGTAAAGATGAGAACCCATCTTTCCCTCTTGCCATGTACCCCCTAGTGGCCACTGTGTACATCTTGTCATCCTCAAGCGCAGCATCGCCGATTTTCGCCCAAAGTATACGAGAACCACGTGGTCTTGATGTCGAGAATGCAAACTGAATGTTCGAGACTTGGGAAAACCGGCCTTCCAAAGCCGGAAGCTGGCTGACACCGTTTTCTAGCGCTCCTCGGAGAGCCAGTCCGGTTATTTTCAGCACAACCACCGGGTCCTCAAATGGAAAACAGTTCAGAATGTCTTTAACGCGGAGTACCCCAGGAGGATAGACTTGGTCACCACGAATTGTTCCAGCAGCCATGATTGCACAGTCAGCTCCATGGTAGAACCGCATCAGATCACAAACAAAATTGCCAAGATTTGATTCACGCGCTCGTACAGTGCAAAAGCGGCCATCGAGCGGGGTAGCGGTATATCCGATTGGCTTTTGCAACTTCCCCTTCAGAGAGGATGTGAGTTTCTCCACCAAGTGCACCGTTGAAGGGTCTTCGGGAATTGAGCGAACGACGTCCCGCCGGGTAATTGAGAATTCCCAACCAGGCCCATCCTGTTTGCGCCAGGCCTCGATATAGCTGAGTTGCTTGAAATCCGTCCCCGAGCGTAAGACGTGCACGCCATTGACGATATTATGCATATAGTAATGGTCATGACCGCCGAGGATTATATCTATTAACCCCGGGGGGATATTGTTTGCAAGCTTATTATCATTCGGCTCTCGCTGGTGAGTGATAGCAATGACAAGTTCGGCGCCCTGTTCGCGAAGAGCAGGGACAAGTTCCTTGGCCGTTTCAGACGCCGATTTGTAGATCAGATTAGGCGGAAGGAAATTAATCGTTGCGAGCCTGGATGGGGCGGCGTAGGCGTTAGCACAAGACCGGGCATCCAAAAGCTAGTAGATGGGGGAAGACTGTGATGTGAATCGCCTACCATTCCCGCTCGCCCAATCCGATAACTCCAATCTTTATCCCATTTGAAGACACTAACATGCGAGTTCTCTCACAATTCGCGAGTGGCACTCCTTCTCCCAGCGCCGGATCCACCACGTTTGCTAGAAGCCACGGGAACTTGCATTGGCTTCTCAAGTGCCGAAACTGCGCGATACCAAAGTCAAGATCATGGTTCTACAGGGGGACAAACGAGGCGATTCGTTAGCAGCCAGTCAGTTAACTATATCGTTACTATATAACCCGGTCCTCCCTTGTGTATTGGTTGAAACCCTGGGCCTCTGTGGACAGACAGCATCTTACTCACGCCAACACATGCAACGTCCGTCCCTGCACGGTTCAGGAAAGGCACCATATGACGGCCCTTTGTGACGGTGCTCTCGAGGCTAGGATTAAATGCATCGCCAGAGAAGAATGTCAGAAGGTCGGGCAGGCCTGCGAACCTGGAATGGTCTCTGTAATAGTTGACGAGGGTCTGAAAGCGTGGTGTTCCCCCGACGGGATCTGCGGAGCCAGTCCTGAAATAGAAATGAATCCGTTGGTTAGCAAATGACCAATCTGATGGCCGTCTATAATAAATACAGATTGAGACACGGATTCGACATACTCGACGTGGTAGACATCGTTATAATGGAGAAGACGGAGGTCTGGCGGGTCCTCACGCCCGCAATTGAAGGTCGTTGACAGACCAGCGACCTCTGTGGCCGACATGAGGCAGCTGTACCCTGATTTTGGATGTGCCAAGAGGTCAAGTTTATACAGATATATTTCAGCTATGACTCTTGTTTTGAGAGGGTGATTTTCATAGATGTGGACTGCGGCGATGAAGATGAGGACAAGGAGGGGTAGTTAAGTGAGTTGGTTGAGTATACTCCGTAGTTAAGGCTGACATTAATTGTTGCTCAGCCCTCTCGACCAATCCAGGAACAGGCAGTTCAAGAGCAAATGGCTTAACTAGTTAATGTATGCAGTGTTATGGGAGCTACAGAGCATCACTAGTGTCACCAGAGTTTCACCCAGCTAACATTGCCTGTCACAGCAGTATCTGGATAACTAGTTATGGGTTACATAGAATAATAAGGTCCATTTCTCTTCCTAAGGGTCTGACGTCACCGACAATGCTTCTTATGTGCAAGGAGTCGGTGACTATTATCTACAATGCTTGTATGGAGCAACGAATGGTGGATTCGACGCTACATGCATAGACGACGTGGATGCATCGAGTATATATCACTTTGCTGGTCTTTCAGAGAAGCTGAAGCTTTCGCATCTTCCCCCGGGTGCTCAGTCATTGGCCCCTTTGCTATTTACGTATCTCACTTTTTTTTTTGGACACTCAACACTGAATATCATTCACTCTGCAGCCCATTGTCTTGGTGCAGGGGTTAACCCTTGATAGCATGTGCCCTCCAGGACCTGGCGATAGCAGAGGGGGTCCTATGTCCATTGCGAAGGACGAAATAGATGCTAGCTTGATCGGTCCCCACCACCATCAATGCAGATCGCACATTAGTTAATTTAGCTGAGTGACCAGACTGTTTGTATATGTATTGCTTTGAACCCACCATACACTCAGTGCAGTGAAGCCATCCGTTCGATTGCCTCACCCTGTAGGCCTTGTACACAGAATACTGGACACCCTAATGTTCATTAAACATTCCTTTTAGAACTCAGGATGTTGTGTGCAATTGTTAGCCTGGACAGTGCAGCCCCAGGCCGCCATTATTTAAGCGGTCAATCCAAAAACCGGGGTGCTACTATGAAAAGTGAATTTACCTAGAATCAGTATTTCCTGGACCAGGTGCGTGGTCTTTGCGGATTTGATGGGGGCCTGCTTTTGCTGCTGTGAATCCACCCGCTGGTAATTTTCTTCTGAGATACAGCCGAAGGCACGGCTCATACCTAGCATGGGGCGAAGGTCAATATGTAGTTTCTGAAGAGCGGTGGCTAGATCATTCATTGGCACGGGGCAGAACCCAGCTTGTTGCCTCCTGCGAAAGCAGAACGTATGAAGCGAGCGCGGTAGGCGATCGCCGGCATTGGATAGTACGGGAGGTGATAAGAAAGGGATCGTTCTGTGGGGATTAGGGTAAAGACATAGCTGCGAGGTGGACTGGTAGGAGCAAATTTTGAACTATTGGTGGGTTTACAGATCGTCTGCTTTCTCCCAAGGAGCAGTGGGCTGCATGAAGGAGTGGGCAATGATTGCCTTGGAGGTATCGAGCATGGAACAAGCACAGCTTCCCTTTCTCGTGGGCCGTCATCGACGGCGGAGGGCCCAACTAGAGCCATGCTGATCTACGAATCGGTCTTGATGCTTGCGCATTCACGACAGATTCTTCTGGGGATGATCATCTTCCTCGAGAACTGCGGGGATGGCGAATATATATCGGAGAAACCACCTGGACTGTGTTTCCTTTTTCCAAGTCCCAATATGGAATTGCTCTAGGGAGTGATCATATAAATTTTTAGTGAGCGGATTTGAAATTGAACAAACAGACAGAAATTGCATGCTCTAGTTAAAGGCGGCCATACCATAACTCCAAGCGCTGCCATGGCTACTCCAAATCTCAGACTAAATCCAAAAAGAGGATGCTAATGATGCTACTCACAACAATGATCATGTCAAATGTATTTAGCGCGCTAAGTCCACAAAGATGGCTATCGATCTGTTACGGTCCATCGCCTTTTACCCTGGGATTCTCTCTCAGGAGCTTTACTCCATAACCCATGGCTGGTTTGGGGTACGGCAGGGATGGACGACTGGATCGGTACATTTACCGTCACAGTTTGGGACTTTGGATCTTTGCTGAGAGATTCGGGGCCTTTGCAATCTCCGAAGTTAGGGATAAGATCGTCCGCTGGATCAGGCGACGAAATGGATCCCCAGAGACCGGACGACAACCGACTCGCAAAGGCGGATCGAGAAGGGGGACGTTGAGAGGAGAGATTGGGGTAGTTCAAAGTTCGGTTGGAGGAATCACCTAGAGGCAAGCTCCCCCGAGAGCTGGTAGAACTGGAAATAGAACTAAACCTTTGCCGATGGGAATAGTCTGAACTCGGGAATCCTCGGGAAGACGCTGGGCCCGAGGCAGCAGCGCTATTTGCGGCTCTCAAGTGATCAGTAGAGGCTAGGATGCTGACATCGTATTCATCGGCAAGATTGACCTGGGAGTAAGCACCGTCCGGCTGTGGGAACGAGCCCCCAGGCGCTTCGGCCTTGCGGACGGCCATAGTCAGGGATGATATCCCAATATCGAGCAGAGCAGGACGATTGGTCAGAGCTCCTATTAAAGCATTGCAGCCAGCACCATGCGTAACTAATATGACTATGGTTTCCACATCATCATTGCCATCATCGTGGCTTTCTGGTATCATGGGGTCCTTGATATATGCAGAGGTGTTGCATTTGTACCATGATATCATACGTTCTAGGCCATCACGAAACCTTCGGTGCATCGAGCTCCATTCTTCTCCATACTCTCCGCCAGTACCCCAAGATTGAGGCTCACGCATACTATCCCACTGATAGTCCATCTCAACACATGCATCACGCGCATGTGCGACGTATCCACGCGGGATCGCATCCGAAGGCTTGACCGCATAGGTGGGAGTGGGTGGAACATAGCCACTGTGCTGGTTTGGTAGAACTGTGGATAGTTTGGAGAGCACTGGGCGTCTGCTAGCATTTAAACCGCCAGAGGGCCCATCGAGAGTGCCAGAACGGGTTCTAGTTGGAATACTCTGGGAAGCCCCGAAAGAGGTACTGCCGTCGAAAGAATTTGTGGATGACCTCTTCCAGCCACCCGGGAAAAACCCAGAAGCCGAAGCAAGATCAGCAGGCGAACTTAGTTCAATAGCTTCGGCGGGACGTAAGAGATCTGCCTTTGCGCTGGCTACCATCATGACCGAGCCCGGTGGAGGCGGGATCTGCTCAAAATAATCTGGGGTGAGCCACTCTCCAAGAAAGGCATCCAAGCGGAGGATACAGTGTCGGTTTCGCTCCTTGCTCGTGGTCGTGGGATCTTTATTTGCCTTGTCTGCGTGACCTTCTCCAAGATCGAGCGCATCGTCAGTTGAACGACCTTGAGTAGTAGTGGAACCGAACGGGTTGCTCCCGGGGGAAGATGGCTGAATCGCAAGCGCAGAGCCTTTCGCCTGACTTATTCCGGCGCTTATGGCAATCGCTGTCTGCACGCAGCGGAGGAATGGGGAGCAGTGGATAATGATTTTTTGTTTTCGCGGCGTTGTTCTTTGCGCTGGAGATTCGGTTAACGTGTCAGAGCTGGATTGTGTCTGTTCCCGTTCTCGCAGGAGGCTTTCGATGCGAATCCCGAGCATGCGCGACTGGTTCCAACCACCGTACGTCAGAGGGGGATCATACGGAGTGGGAGAAGTGAGATGCCAGTGCTTATCGACTGCATCAAGGCGGGCCCCATGTCTGTACGGAGAAATGGCAATTGCTCAGCTTTCAACAACACCGACGATGCGTAACTAAGGATTGGAGGTGGGGAGGGTAGTACAGACCTCACAACGAATGTGACTGCTGGGGCCTTTCCCATGGCCACAACGCAATAATCACGGGCAGGATCGGACAAGAAACTCGCATCCAAATATGCAGCGAAGCTATGGATGGTGTGCAAGGGAGCTATCTGGGAAGCTCTCGTGCTCCCAAAGCTATGACTGGAGCGAGCGTAGTCCGAGTGATGCAGGCAGATAAGATAAAGATGAGAGGATACATAAAATTAGAAATAGTATTGGAAGATCAGTGGAGAATGTGATCCCAAAAGCAAGAGACAGCTAATAGCACCAGACCCCAAGGGGCTCTAGTGAGAGAGAGCGACGGGGATGTTGTTGGTTAGTTCTTTGCTCGTTCGTTTCGTTCGTTCGTTGGGGGGGAGCGAAGATCTGGCGAGAGGAGAAAACCAGCAAAGCGGCCAAACAGCCGCCAGGGCAGAGACTGAAACTGGCATGTGATTGTGGAGCAGCCTTATGTAGTTAGTTATGTAAGTGGCGTCGTCCCACCGTTGCGCGCTAGACCTCATCGGGTACTTATTTGGCTTCTTCAAGATGACATTTAACCTAGGTAACTAATGACTGCCAGCTGCTAGGTCCTCTCACTCCAACAATCTTGCATCTTTCTACGGCAGCCTCCTCTAGACTTGACCTAACACCGAAGGGAAGGGCAGGCTTGTACAAGGCCACAAGATCTATTGCAAAGCTGTGCACGGCCCGCAAAAGTACAGAGTACGCGTTCGGCATTTTAAATTTCACTGAACCCATAGTTAGAGCAGCTGATACCTCCTATGGGAGCTGAAGTCAGGAGAAAGACAAAGCCAGCAGAGTGATCAGCTCTCCATCAGCTGGAAGCTCTTCAAGGGTCACTGGTGAGTATCTGAACAAAAGTGTTCCATCCTTATTGATGTAGCTTTCTCCTTCATGAAGGTACCTTGACACAAAAGGAATTCCTTCGGTCATTTGCGTGCTGAATTTTGATGTCCTGATAACAAACTTCAAGGTGGACTTGATGATTGTAAAAGTGACATGTCAAGGGTGTAAAGTGTGGGCTCGTCCGTTCCATGTACCAAAAGAATTGCGAGGGGCATGTCTGTTATGTCAAGAACCTGGTGAGGTTCCCAGACACGAAACACCTCAAGCAACCATGTATGTCGAACAAAGTTGGTTATGTCGAAAATGCAAGAGTACTCGGTACTTTTAACCCTCAATATCAATATATAACATTTACCTGTGTATGTATGCACATGTATGCCACACAGACTATGTAACTAGTAATCCTGTACATACGTAGACCATTTCCATCCCTCTGCCTGACAGCGTCAACAGTTTATTCTATAACCCTCTTTTCTGCACGCAGAATTGGCGTGGTGTCTTCTGTATAGAACATCATGTACAAACAAAACATTAACCAGGGCATCAACATATATGATGTTCGCGGCTAAAAGGTATTGTGACAAAAGGAGTATATGACCAAGGGGGAATGAACAAGGTGGAGAGGCAGGATAACATCATAACAGACCAGGCCAGAAGCAAGAGATCCCAACAGCGCTCATTATCATCATCATCATCATCTGTCCATCAATCCATCCATCCTTTCACCCAACCAACATCCTGGCAGGAATGCCATAGACAAAGCCAGAGCTTCAAACAGTTTGACAATCATCGTTGGTTAAAGAACCAGGTGGTGCGCTTGGCCCTGCCAGACGTTGCATCGTTTGCCGGAGGGCTGGTAGCGTTAGGGTGCTCTGTCCCGCCTCCTCCTCGAAGGGGTTTTGCTATCCTCGAGCCTCCGAAGCTAAAGGATAAGCCGTCGGAAGAGGGCAGACTGCGCGTAGACCCAGCCTTGGCGGCTTCCAGGCGTTCCTTCACGACGGTGAGCTGCGCTTCAAACCTACATCGCGCGGGGAAACAAAATGAAAGTGTCAGCCTTGATTTTAATTGTCTATGATAATAGAGGGACCATACCGGTGATTCGCAGCCGTGAGTTTCTCCTGGCTTTCTTGGAGAAGGGTCTCCAGGCTTTCAATCCTCTCATTTCGAGCAATCAACTTCCTTTCAGCAATGGCAACCTCCCTTTTTAGGCTGCTGTTCTGCTCAACGAGCTGCCGCTGCACGTGTGTCAACTGTTCCAGATTCCTTTCCAGGAACGCCATCTTCTTTTGCTGCTGACGATTATTCGAAGACTGTACAACGTGCTTATATTGCTCACGGGCCTCATCAAGAGAAATCTCCAGCTCAACGACCCTCTCGCATCGATTCTGCAAGTCACGCATTAGGGATTTCTTCATGGCGTCAAAATCTGCGATCTGCTGATGCAACGTTTTGCTGTTGACTGTAGGTGTCGTGTTGCTGGATCCGTTGGGCTGAGAGCGAGCTTCCGCGAGTGACTGCTTCAAGCGCTCGAGCTCTCCATCCTTGCGGGCGATCTCGCTTCGCAAGCTATCTACTTCCAGGTGGTCGATATCTTTCCGCGCCGCATACGCCTGTTCTAGCCGCTCCTTGATCTCAACTACATCGTTAGCATCAAGCCCCTGTTCTAAAGCAGCTTCCAACTCCTGTTGGAGTTTGACTATTCTCTGCAAGAGCTGGGCGTCAGGGGGAACGTCAGCACGGTCATTCATCGCCAACTCAGCCTGCCGCACTACCCCTTGGGTCTCAAGGAGGGATGACCGTAACTCCAAAAATTCATCCGGGGCGACCACCTCGCCGGACGAACTGGTCGCATGCAAAGAATCCACTCGTTCGACCAGCTTTTGTATCTTCCTCTCGTTCTCTGAGAAAAAGTCCATCTTGAGATCGAATCCGGCCATCATTTGAGCCATGCGTTCGGCCTTCTTCCGATCCTTCTCATCCAATGCCGCGCTGGTTTCCCTTGCACTCATCCTAGCGTCGAGAAGCTGCTGCTTGAGCTCGTCCAACTCGGCTGTCAGTTCTGAGTTGGCATCTTTGAGCGTGTCCATAGTAATCGCCGCCTCCTTGCTTTCAAATGAAACTTTCTCCAACTGCATGCGAAGCTCGTTAACCTCTGTATTTAGCTTTTCATTATCCTTTCCCGTCCGAACAGCCGATTCCTTCAGGATTTTAAGCTCCTCCTTCTTCTCTACCAACATTTTCTCCGCATCCGCAATCTGCGTCTCTCGTTCTGCCAGCTGATCTTGAAGGTCATTTTCACGCTTCAAAAATTCCTCGCGTTCATCCTTCTCTAGGACTATGGTGGGAGTGCTGGATCGATCGCCAACTCTCGAGTCTGGCCGACTGCTGGGGGTCTCAGAGCGTGCCTCTGTCTGCAGACGCGAAGGCGTCGCAGGACGCGGCGCTTTTGCGTCGAGTTTTATCCCTGCAACCCCTTCTCCCGTCCTTAAAGCCACCCATCTCTCTTGGGGAACAGTATCGCCACTCCGCCAGAGCTGGATTTCGGATTCCAAGGATGCAATGTACTTTTCAAACGTCACAGCCTGATTCTGTGCCTTTTTCAGGAGCTGCTTCAGCTCTGCAGGGCTCAGTTCTGCATTGATCTTTGCCTTATTCTTAATCGCCTTCGCACGAACGCCGAAGCGAAGGGTGCTTATCGTCTCAGCATCGTTGTAACTGCTTGGAGAGCAGTTAATGATCAATGTGGTGCGGGAATTTCCTCCCAAGCTCTCCTGTAGTATGCGAGTAAGTTTTGAGTCTCGGTAAGGGATATGCGTCGACTTTCCATCTGTAAGGGCGTTGATGACCATTCCCAGAGCGCTCAGACTCTTATTGATCTTCTTTGCTTCCTCCAACGTCTGACCGCTCGCTCCCGTCTTTCCCACTTTCTCACTACCAGCGAGATCGACGAGAAAAAGCTGACCGCTCTTCGCAGAGCCAGTTTCCACATTCTTTTGCGTAATGGTGATGACGAAAATAGAATGTGAGCGTGAAGACTCCTGGTTCATATTTGTCGCTGCAACAGCCCGTGCCGCATCACCTCTTCGCATCACTTCGTAGACTTCCTGAACGCTAGACACGTATATCTCGAGCAGCCCCTTGACGTAGACGCCTCTAGACTTCTCCTCGTGGACAGGAAGGTTGTCATTTTGCGGCAGCAAGAGATCTCGGATCCGCTCCATGTAGATTTCCATATAACTCACACGAACCGTATATTCAATATTCCCGGGACTCGTCATGATACTCGTAAACATCTGTTCTACGATCCGCGGTATTATGCCTTTTCCTTCGTCATCGTCAATGTCTGACCCCATCATCGTGTATGATTTGCCAGCGCCCGTTTGACCGTAGGCGAAAACAGTTCCATTGTAACCGTTAAGGATATCGTCGACCGTGGAACGAATAGAGTAGTCAAAAACGTCCTGCTGGCGACAGTTCATGTCAAATATTCGGTCGAATGTAAACGCTCCAGAAGCTTCTCTCGACTAAACGGAGTCAAAAATTTCAGGTCAGCAAACAGTGGACCGTCCAGAGTGATATCAAACTTGGGGCAGTAACAGCCCGAGCACCAAGGGAAAAAGAAATATGGTAGGGAGGGAGGGAGAGAGGGCGCTGCAAATCTTCGCGTACGTTGATCCGGCATGTTTCCTCCGACTCGAAGTCGACAATCGGCTGTCCACCGTTGGCGACTTCGATCTTGTTCTGAGGTCGAAACCGCGCGACCACTGAGAAGCAAACAGAAGTAAGCAAAATCGTTTTAGTAGTTGCGATGTTTGCTGAGCGCTTTACTTGCCCTTGATGGTGTTGTAACTTCCAGTGGCCCCGGACCTGCGGGTGCTACCAGTCAGCCTATCTACCTTGAACCGAGCGTGAGGGGGTGTAGCAAGACTTACGCCATGATGGCCGCTGTGACCGTGCCGAAGCTCAGTCAAAGGAACACTGGGAGCCGTGAAACCGCCGGAGAAATGTGAGAGGAATGGAGGACTTTATCTTCCAACGAAGGACTCGCCGCTTCAGGGGGTGTGTGTGTGTGTATTCGAGACGGCCTCGAGCAGCGAAATGAGCAAGGGGCCCACGTGAGAACCGGGAGCCGACGAGAAAATCGAAAACGTCAAGCCGAGTTGAAACTCAAAGGGAAACTCCTAGCAAAAGCCACAGAACACAGGTAAAAAGCAGGGAATTAAAAAGAATGTGGACGATAATGAAACCTCCATCGTCCACAAACCCCCCGTGTTAATGGTCGGTGAAAATGTCGTGGAAGCGGAGCATAGTCAGCAGCGGTCTTGGCGTTTGTTTATGTGCTCCGTCCAGCACGACTGGTTTAGTTCATAGCCTAAAATTGAGCTCGCGCGTTCCCTTGGGCCATGGTCGGCGGACTCGACCTTGGGAATGCTCGCGACCGTGTACCGCCTTTTGTCTTCTCTCTCCTATATTACATCCCGTACATATACACCTACATAGGATCCTCAGTATATCCGTAAAATATACTTCCATGCAGCTACCTGAAATCGGACATCTAATAATTGTAAGAGAGGAAAAAGACAACCAACAAATGGAAACCAAGATTCTTCTCGTCCCATTAATAGAAGCAACCAAAAAAGCAGCGCCGAACCCCTTCGCTGTGCATATGAAAAGAGGAGGAAAAAAAAAAGAGGAAAAGAAAAGAGGAAAAGAAAAGAAAAGAAAAGAAACAATCGGTTCCCTTACATGCTGCTCGCCAAAGATCAGATGAAACCTCGATGTCGGGCAGTGCTTTACGTGCACCTAAGATTTAAATGCACGGAGAGCAAGCCGTCGCATCAAGCTAGGACAAGTATTTAAAATAAGGAAAAAGGGTAAAGCCCTCAAAGGAGACACGCAGAGAGACATACACACACTGAGATAGGGGGAGGGAAAAGAGACTTCGCCAACGGAGAGATGCTTGACAGTGGACATTCGTAAACAGACATGACAAGTGACATAATCGCAGCGTTTCATATCGGGGCATTACTAGGAAGATTGGCAAATTGAACTATCTCAATCCTCCCAGCTCTTCTCGACAGTTTCGCGCACACGCTTTGCGTACTCCTTTCGGTTATCCTTGTATAGGTTGGATGCCTCCACGTTCGCGGGAGAGGAGGTGTTTGGGTCATTCAGCAAGCTGGTGGCAAAGCACGGATAGGTCAGTATATTTGAGTGATATGACGGCAATGAGACAGCATTGCCTACCTTTGAATGCTGGTTAATATCGCCGCTACGTCGTACGTCGGGCTCCAACGGTTCTGGAGGATGTCGAGGCACAATTCGCCAGTTCCGTAGACGTTGGGATGGAACATCTTGCTGACAAACTTGACGCCGGGAGGCTTATTGGGGTACTGCTCTTCGAAGTGCATCACGAGTCGGAAGGTCCCGTCCTCAAAGGGGGTGTCTGCGGGACCAATAATGACGGCATTCCTATCTCGAGTGATGAGTCTAATGTGCAAGTGAAGGTTCCGATGGCATGGACATACCATGTCATGACATTATCCGCAACTGGAGAAGCAGAGACCCCGGCAGGAGGGTCGGTTTGCATCCGCTAATTGTGGTAACATACGTCAGCAAAGATGGTTTATTTAAGGAGAGGGGCGGGGTTTCTCTCGGAGCGGAGAGCAAGAAAGCAAGACAACTTGTCGTTGCCGCAAGGGGGTATCTATCGGTCGAGGGCAACGCATAGGAACGCTGTTGAAGATGCTCACCTTGAAGTCTCTCATCAATCGACGGCGCGCAGAGGTCGACATGGTTGATCACGCGAGTCCGGGACGAAAGGGTTCAAATGGATTCAGATGGCGACTCGACAAGGGGAGCAAGAAGGGGGAGCTCGAGCAAAGGTAGAGAAAGTGAGGACGTTCAGGCCTCGCAGGGTACTCGATTTTTGAAACGTTCGGGAAACGCTGGGTAGACCGTTGCGGACGACGGCGGGTGGCCTGGGAATGGCACTGAGTGACAAGTTCGCTGCGGATCCCCGTCAGGTCTGCCATTCTTGCCTGTGGAAGACGCTCGAACGTCGGGCTAGACCGGATCGGAACTAGTCGGAAACATTATATAATCGCACGTGCTATGTTGTCACGTGATAAATTGAGGATACCTATATAACCTGGTTTTATCCTCCCAACGTACGGAGTAACCCAGTAGACCAATGACAAGCTATCAGTCCTCCATCAGGCTATAAATCGATGTAATTCAGCCTGTCTCTAAAGAGATACAGAAGATGCAGAAAAGTCTGGAAGAAATGGAACAACAATTAAACCGCGAACGTGGCCGTCGAAGTTCAGGATACGAATCCGCTGAAGTAGACGTAGAAGAAGATGCTCAGCCAACAAATCCGAGAGAGAAATTCAAGTGCTATGTGGATAAAATCGCAGATCCACATAACAGAAGTTGACAACTTTATCGCACAATTCCTGGATAGTGAAAATACCGTCAGGAAGCCTATGTACCCTAACTGGTGTCAACAATTATGCCTCGTAGTAACCGAGCTAGCAGGTGTTGAAGATATTATCCTAGAGGAGCAAACAGCATCGCGACAACTTCATAATCCCGCTGCTACAAAGCTTAGGAAAGCCAAGACTAAGTGACTATACAGCCTAATTAACAGCAGTATATCCTCACAAGCTAGAGTCCACTACCAACAGCCAGATAGCCTCGTCGGCTACTTCGTACAGGCTCTGGATACCTGTAGAAACGGCTTTTGAGGAGAGACAAGTTCAACGAGGACGCCTAGCAAATGAGATCAGGAGTATGACAGCCCAGCCGGTTAGCGGAGAAAGGAACTACATAGAGAGATTCCTAGCAATTCTCATGGATCTTGAACGAATTGGATTCCCCTACCATAGCCACATATTACACGATATTTTTAAGGACAACACCACGCCTCGATGGAGAGAATTCATGCAGACCCCACTTGAGATGGCTTACCGCGAAGGATCTGACCTGCCGGAGCAGGAGCTGAACAGCTTGCTGCAGGATATATCATACCGAATCCGCAAACAAGGCGAGAGCATGAGGAGAAGCCCGGCCAAGACAAATAAGAATGCAACAAGAGTTCAAATTCGAACCCAAATTCGAATTGAACGTCTAAGAAGAACACAATTCAATTCAAACCTCGTTGGGTTGTACGTGGATTTAAGCAGCAAGAAGGTGTTCACTATAAAAAGATCTACGCAGTTGTTGTAAGTGGTCTACCACTAGAGCTTCTTCGCGATCTCAGCAGCCAGAAATTGGAGAGTTAGAGTCTTTTATTTCGTTACAGCCTTCCTAAATGGAACTTTTCCAGGGGAAGAGCGTGTTTTAAAGCATCGCCCTTGGGAATTCGGTACGGCTCCTACGCCACTACGTGTTGAAACAGGGTTACTACGCACTAGTATCAAGCAGGTACTGAATACTGGAAATCCCTAGGATTTCAAACGATGCTGGCATGCTCTACCACAAGAGGAGGCCACTCTATTTAACTGTACACGTTGATGACTGCTATGTAATGGGACCCGATGGATCTGAGATTGACTGGCTCCTAAAAATGCTTCAACATCGCTTTGAGATGAAGAAAGTTACGAGTCAAAGCCATTTCCTAGGCATGCAAGCTCAAAAAGCCAAATGGAGATCTCTTTGTTAGGCAAGAACAGTATATTGAGGATTTACAAAGTGAATCCGACATGGAAGACTGTAAACCTGCTCTGACCCCTATGATAAAAGGAATCTACAGTAAATTCGTGCCAGATCAAGCTGGCGAAGAATCAGCTGGAGCCAATAAGCAGTTCACGCCTAGTAACTATAGGAAGGGCATAGGCTCCATGCAGTTCCTAATTACATCTACAAGGCCAGATCTTGCATTAACCGTCTAACGGTCAATTACCTATCCAAATTCAACAGCAGGCCAAATAGGGAATGTTAGATGGCATTCAAACATGTCCTACAATACCTCAAAGGTATGAAAATGAAGGGTATAGTCCTCAAAGGAACAGGTTCAGAGGTTGGAACTAGTCACAATCACAGATTCTGACTATAATCTACCAGCAGCTAAATTGTTACAATGAACAGAGCTCCAAGCCTGTTTTAAAATGCACAACCGAGACAGAATATCTAGCAGCTAGCAAAGCTGCTTGTGAATTGGTGTGGTTTAACAACATGTTGATGGAAGCAGATGTGACTAGCAAAAACTCAGCAAAGCTTAGGACCTCAAAAATTGAATGTTGACAACATAGGAGCTGTCAACTTAGCCAAAGCTGAACCTATACTTCGAAGAGCACACCATATCAGGGTTTGCTGCGATATGTTGAGAGATTGGGTTTAAAAGAATGAAATCTCAAATAAGCACATTGGAACCAATGTGATTAAAGCCAATGGGCTCACAAAAGCTCTTGCAAAGTACCCTTATATCAGTTTTGGAGCGCGATAGGGGTGATGGGTTTGATACAACATCATTATGGAGATTTTTGCGGGTGGTGTCAGTTAAATTACAGTATCACAATGGATTCGACTACAGTACACAACCTTTGTGTGGCTCACATCTGTTGGTAAGCTCATTGCATCCACGGGGTAGATGTTATGTAGGTAGTTAGGCGGAACACATGAGAAGTCAGAACAGTGTATGGGAATTCCAATATCTTGTTGACACACCATTCAGGAAATAACTTCATATGCCTGAAGCTACCCCCTATGATTTCAAGGACCAAAGTGCATCCTTCAATAGCAGGTTACATTTGTACACACATGTACCTTCATCATTTGTCTGATCATAACTGTAAATCATTTCATTAGAGAACATTTACAATGAACTGATTGGCGTGTAGTACCACTATGGAAGTTGCCTGGTGCCTTTCAACACGACCGTCTAGCACGACACGCGCCAGCACCTGGGAACTAGACCCATGCACCTATCATCACTGTTGCCCGAGGGCGAAGAAAGATACTTTCATGCTCTTAATCAGGAAAACCACGGATGATCAAGTAGCGTGCTCACTTGTGGTCTGTCATCAGGGTTGATCTTAAGCATACTCCTTAACAAATCAATCAGTTGGTCTGTATCCCGCTGAGAGGGTGCGCAAGGCCGATGAATCCGCTGCTCGGCCCAGAACCCTTCCGTATCAAGCTGTCGTCGTTCTGGAGGGAGAAGTGTTAAAATTGAGTCTCGTGACAGAAACGATAGAGGCGTTCGACAGACATACCGCCAGCGTTTGCGCAAACCTTATCCAAGTCCCAGTATGGCCTCCAGGCAGGTGGGAGAGGGCCAGCTAGTTCAAGAGTATGGTATATAATCCAATCACCTCGACCCAATCCATGCAGCAAGGCATAGCCATAATTCATATGGTAGATCTACCGCCCTGGGTCAGATAGCTGGAAAGCGGTGGCGAAGAGCTCGTCCCCGCGGGTCTGAACTTATCTGAACTTACAGTGCACGCCGCCGCCCAGACATCTATAGGTTTATCCCAATCCGACCCTACCTTACCATTTGAAAGCTCACAGAAGGTTACCTCGGGAGCGCGGATGGCTATGGGAGTGTTTGATGGCGGTCTTTTGTCTGACTTTCGAAACGCTAGGAATTTCAGTCACTATTACCTGTAGATGGTAATCCGATAGTAGCCGCTTACAGTTTCCAAGATCCATGATCTTGAGGCAGAGGGGTTCATAAGTTGCACTATTCCCTGCTTTCCATTCTAAAAATTCCACCAGAGAGACAGACGGAACAAGATATGCCGGGACAGACTCATTCTGATCCAATGGATTTTGAGCCACAACAGGAACAATTTCAGGATTGGAAAAAATGCTCCATTATTGACTCTTCTGGATACTCATTCAGCTGAGGCATGCTCACAGCAAGATTCCCAATATGTAAGTCTGTAATTTAATCAGATATGGTATAGTGTCTTGGAGACACTGAAATAATACTTACCACCATGAGTCACTCCTTGACTATGCAAGTATGAAAGTCCCATTATAGCCTGAAGTGAGAGCTTCTTGACACAAGCTTTAAAAATTGAAGTATCACGGAAATACCTCATGCCACCTACTACTTCAGTAACAATGCAATCATGTATTCCATTGGGCCCTTGAATCGCGAAGTCATCTAATAGATGGATAACATTATTATATCCAAGCTGATTCTGATGACCGGAATCCCGTAACTGCCGAAGAATTCGGATCTCATTGTTCTCACCAGTGATACATGAAATGTTGATTTTGAGAGCAACATAACCACTATATCAGTATAAATCAGTCATCAAATATGCTGATGGACCACACAATTAGCATCACATACAGAGAGCCCAAAAGATCCTTTGCTAGCCATACTGTAGCAAAAGCACCATGGCCTAACTTTTGCAAAATCCAGTACCTTGGTTTTCGAGAGTTGGAAGTTGACTGCTTGGGCAATACCTCACCAAGGAGTACAGGGTGATATCCTCCACGTTTGTACTTGCGCATATCCTCTACCTCGCCGTCATCGCCATCATAGAAGAACTTTTCAACTATCGCCATTGTTGAAATATATGAGATCAAGCCAGATATGAAGATTGAATGGTCACCATGCAGGTGCACAAGGAAATGCAGAGTTCCTATTCAAAGTCAGGCCCGGATTCCGGAAAGCTCACTTTGACAAGTGTACTCCGTACTACTGTACACAACTTGGCAGGTGTAGGGTCTGACAGCAATCTGACGAAAAATCTGCTCTTCATGCAGGTTAGATATCTATTTGGGGAAATAAATGTATGAGACCAGACCAGCTACCCGGAACCTGATCCGAAATACTAGCTGTTAGGTAATCCAACTAGCACTTCACTCACATGACCCAGATTGATTACTTAGTATCCAGGTAGGCGAATCTTGACACGGAGTACATAGTTGGGAGGATTATGCTTATTCGCTAAGCTAGGATTCGAGAGGTTTGCCTAAACCTTAGCTGCTACTGAGGTATTATATAACCCAAGAGCTCCATTCAATTCTCCACAGGCAAACTGGCAAGTGATAATTATTTTTATCTGCCAATTGCACAATAGTTGGTTCAGTCTACCTTGATAGATCTATATATACGGTGAATAAACGCCCAGGAGGCGAAAAATCCGATCGAGCCTAGAATGTATAGTTAGATTGTCGTCTCCCCGACCAAAATGTAGCAACAGCCAAAGCTTACCAGTCAGAATGAAAGCTAAGAATGCTAACAATGCCGAATATCCCAAATAAAGGATGGCGCCAGTGATTCCGCCAAAGCTAACCCGTGTTACCCAAAAGATAAGGGCGTTAATGAAAACATACCCGCCCGTCATGCCGGCGCCGATGAACGATCTCCATTGCCACCGGTAGTCCTCAGCACAGAGAAGGAAATATACTAGGAGTATAGTGGTCATGGCGGACATCATGATCATCAAACCGTAGCAAAGGAAGAGGAAGCCAAACATATAGTAGATTTTACCGGTCCAGAGCGAATTCATGATGAAGTACAACTCAACAAAGATAGCCGCAAAGGGAAGTAAGCCGGCAATCAAAGTAGACGGGATCAGTCGGAGCGAACCAACCGCTGGAGGGATCTGACGGGGGATCTGATTTGTTTTCGTCGGTCCTTCGAGAGCCTGATAAATTGATTGTTAGGATATCCCTGAGGGCCCGAACAGGAAATTGAAACACATACCGGTTGTTTGAACCCGATCCAGCTGCCTGCCACGCTGAGAGGCACGCTGATAATAAACCATATCAAAACTATAACTACCATGGTGGTGAAAGGCACAGCGCCACTGGCCCCTTTAATCCAGAGGATGAAGTTTAGGAAAAAGAACACCGAAAACACAATAGCCGGTAACACGAGAGGCGTTGCAATGATGAGTTGCTTCCAAGCTTCACCTCCAAACGACTTATAAGCTCTGGCTGAAACGTAGCCGCCGATAGAGCCGAGGAAAGTATAGAGTATCAGGATGACTGTTCCCAAAAACCCTCTGTTCGACGGAGAGAGAAGACCGAACAAGGCAAAGACTATTTTCTCTCAGCACCAATGAACGTATCGACTTGCCGTGGGGTACCACTTACGAACTGTCAGGCCAGTCATCATGAAGAGCTGGGCGCCATTTCCCAAGAATACGCTCAGCAGTAATGGCTGTTTCGGGCAACGGAATACGTCACCGTGCACGAGCTTCCAACCAGAATCTTCCTGAATTCCATCTTCGACGGAAGCCGGATTTCCATCCAAGTCGTCCAGGTTGATCATGTTGAGCCTGTTGTACCTCGCGATATCTTTTCGTAGTGCTCGGAGTAAGATCGTGCTAACTAGGGCCACTAGCAGGATGACAAAAACCGCGGAGTAAATGAGCGAGTACCAATGCACGCTGGGATCATAGACGTGCAGGTACTTATCCCAGCGGGTGGCCCAGGCTGTCGGGGATTCCCTCCAGATGACACTATAAGTCCAAGCGACGGTCGTGTCTTCGTCTTCACTGAGAGAAACCGGAGGTCCGTTCGGTGAGCATTCAGCTTTTTTATCATCATTCAGGACCTTTGATGGCTTTCGCGAGGAAGGGTTCACTAAGACGCCAACGACGCGGTACTGCTCTGTCTTGCCCAAAGCCGCTGCACGATGGTAATCAACATAGATATCATAATGATTGTTCAGCAACTTGCTCCCATCTTTATCAACCTCGCCCAAGAAGAATCCAGGGCTATAGAACTCCTCGTCTGTCTGCGGATCCTCGCTCAGCTGCGCCGCAGGGAGCCCATCTATAAGCAAATTCACATTGTACCCATCCCATATTCTCTGATTGACGAAACTACTGCTCGCCGGGTCAAACACGACCTCCGGGCAAAGCAATTTGCAGGTTTCGTTCTTGGCCATGAAGATCTCAAACGGAGATGTCTGGATGCGGTCGCCGAATATAATACTGCCGAGTGATTCTCTGACATCCTCTGGCCCGTCTTTAGGCCGGCAGAACATAAAGTCCGAGTAATAGTAGTCATATGAAATTATGGAATGGAGTTGAGCATCGTGTTCAGAGACAGTTGGTGAGACGCGGTTTACATGGAGCGGAACCTTTTGGCCGACTTCGTAGGAGGTTGGCGCAACACCCGGAAGATAGAACGCCGATGAAAAGTGTGGATAGAGGAGTAAGAGGGGGGAAAGGAGGTGAAGGGTATTTGGAAACGAGGGCCGCATTTTGAGATATTACCTAGACTGAGAGACTTGTCATCAGCACATGTTCTCCGCTGGAGGGTTCGCTGTCCAACTCAACCTGACGAACCGATTGCTGGTGGCTATGTATGTGACGGTTATATATAAGCGCTGAAGAAGTCACGAATTCATGAGTGTCAATGCAAATGGAGCGGAGAACAGATGCAGTCAACTCATATCTCGCCAGCAATAAGAATGAGCAGATGCCACAACACCGAAGACAGAATGGAAAGAAAAGGGAGTGCGTGTGAGTGAGCGAGCGAGAGAGACAGAGAGAGAGACAGCACGTCAAGGCAGCTGTCCAAATTGGAGCTTCGGCTTATGTAACCAACTAACAGGGTGATTACATCAGCCAAGCACGGCGCATCGCCTGGAACGGGCAGCGAGGAGCGACGGGGGGCGGGAGAAGAGTGAACAGGGGGCGATGATGGCCTCGCTGGCTCGAGTTTTAATGTTATAAATTCACTTTGCTTTCTTAAGTTCTCGTACACGCAGGGGTACTAACTAATAACTAGTAGACGCCGGAGCCCAAGAATCACTCAACCAAGCAATATTCAAAATCAGACCTACACCGCCATCAGTCATGCAAAGGCCCGCCAAGAGAAAACAGAACTTCGGCGTTTCGTCAAAAAGAAAAAAGGAGGGAGGAAAAAAAAGAAAAAAAAAGAAAGGAACGGAAAGGGGAAAGGAAAGGAAAAAAAGAAAAAGAGAGAAAAAGAAAAATAGTACAAGAAGAGGAGTGATGTCAGATAGGCGGAGCAACAGCAACGGTTTCTCCAAGCCATTCGTGTAGTGGGCGGGGCGCGACGCACCCTATATGCCGGGAAGCTTGAGGCTGGAAACTGAACCCCGCTATGCCGTCGATGGACCTGGACGGGCGAATATGAACATTTGGCGGGGAAGGGACGAAAATACGGCGCTTCGTGCCAGCGGGGAGTGGTGATGCGAACTCCTGGCAGGCTGGAAGCTCATTGCCGGCCGCGACCTTCGAGAACCTTGCCTTGCGGCGAAGGAAACACACCGATAACACAAGCCGTAACTAAACAATTCAGGTACAATGGCAAGTGACGCCCCACCATAAAAAGGGCAAAAAGAGTTCGTAGAAAAGGCCAAGGGGACATTTCGTGCAGGATCGTACATCTGACATGCTAGAGGAAACAAGGTATATGTATCATAAGAATTGGGAAACATAATGAAACGGAAGGATATATTTACTGGGAAATGGGGATTGCCTTTCTTGGGAAGGGGGCAAAAAAAAAAAAAAAAAAAAAAAGGAAAACAGGGACGATCCAATAGGTTGGAAAGGCTGCAGCTATCAGAGGAAACGAGCACGCAAGGCGGCTAAACAAGGCCATCGTAAAGCGATAGGGCGCTGACAATGGTCTCGTCCCGCTTACTGCCCTCCTTGAATTCGGCGATGTCCAGGCTTCCGTTCTCATCCTTATCCATCATCCGGAAGATCTTCTTGACGCGCTTTTCAGGGGTATCTTCATCTTCCGGGAGCTTTACCATTGACCCAACCTGCAAAAGTTGTTCAGAACCAAATAAGCAGCAAGGGTAGGCAATTGGGGCGGGTGGGTTATCTCACCATTTTATATATAGCCTCGACTATCGCGAGCATTTCATCGTAGCTGATCTTCCCGTCGCCATCGATATCGTACAGCTGGAAAGCCCAGTCTAATTTGTCTTCCATTCTGCCGCGGGAGGTCACCGATAGGGCGCAGATGAACTCTTTAAAGTCGATCATGCCGCTATTATCGGAATCAAATACTCTGAAAACGTAGTTCGCAAAAGAGGACGGGTCGCCAAAGGGGAAGAACTGCCGGTAGATCTTTTGGAATTCCTCCTTCGTAAGGGTGCCGGAGGGGCAGTCCTTCAGGAACCCTGCGTGGAGAAAGATCGTCAGCATCGCTCGGTGTGTAGGAGTCGGCCCAAGAAACCAACCGGGAACATACCTTTATACCATTGCTGCAACTCCTTCTTGTCGAAATGGGTCGCTTTTTGAAGTTCATCAAGTTGCGAGGGGGACAACTTCGACTGTCTAGAGAATGCGCGGGGATGGTCAGCGAATTGCAGCGAATTGCCAAGGGTGATTCATTCCAGGGCATGCCACTCCATGCGCCCATTTAGAGATCCAGCCGCGTATCGGTGCTCAAACAATGCGTATAAAGGTGAAAATATGGGGAAGAAAGAATAAAAGAAAAGAACAGAGAGGAGGGTTTCCGCGAGGGCGAAAATGCGAAACACGGGAGAGAAGTGGTGAAGAGGCACTCGACAGGCCACTTCGAACAGCACAAGCCGGATTGGCACTTACGACTTCCCCATGGTTCCCGGTAAGAATGTTCAGAGTGTGTGTGTGGAGGAGACTAAGTAAATGACGTTCTCCTGTTGTTGGTAGTGGGACTGGGATTCAGCGATTCGGTTGCGAAATTATATAAGTACACATCCAAAGGACGGCGGGGTAATAGCTGGAGATGGCGGGCGCGTTGCTGGTTGGGCGGTGGACGCTTGTAGAAAATCAAATGGGCGAATGCGAGGCAATTGGGGAGTTTCAACTGAGAGAAGGTAAGGAGAGCGTGGAATGGAGTGATAATGAGAATGAAAAGGCGGTGGCTCTGTGTTAGACAGCTTGCTGGGCACTCTCTGGATGGCAGTGGTGGTGGTAGCGGTGGTGGTGGTGATGCTTGCCGCTGACTTGCTGGGGTGGGAGAGACGGAGATGCAATCCAGACGAGCCTCACCAAACTCCGGAACCAGCTTAAGCATGCCAAGCCACCTAGGCGCCCGCTGATCCTCGCCGCCCGTCGCGCAGTTTGGAAATCCGCTGCTCAGGTCTCTCCTCTTGGGTGCGCGGGTAATAACACAACAACTTACGGTCAAAGGTGCTTGGGCGAAGGCTCTCTGTGAAGCAGTGAAAGTGTCGACTCGAACCCATGAAATGCACAAACTACAGGGTACATCAGAGCTAATACCCAGCTACAAACCACATTCATAGGTATTTGTGCAAGTACTGCATGTACAGTACATAGCCACTACTGGCCCCTGGGGATGCATAGACAGTCAATGAATATGAAACTGCTTGTTGGCCCCAGGCAACAAGAAGCCAGATTGTTTGTTAACTAATGATGCTCCAACCAAGAACCAACAAAAGCTTTCCGTTTGCTCGCCCGGTTTGAGCGCTGCGCCTTGGTTAGTTATTTGTAATATGGATGCTGATATTCCAGGATTCTTTTACTGCTGTCACTGATTGACTTGCATATGCTCTTCATAAGGCACCTCCCTTCCAGTTAACAGCTAAGATGACAGTGCATGATGACTCGGCAAAAGCACAAGCTTGATGGGGTATCTCTGGTATGTGTTCAGCAACAGGAGGACAGTTCTCGCGCTAATTCCCAGCATGCAGGCCGAACTTTGGGCTCTGTGGCCTAGGGAGCTGCTATTGATGCAATTGAACATCAGCCTCTCTCATTTTTGCCGAATTCACAAATCTGTCGACAGGAACACGAACTGAAGGCATACAAGACTCCCTCTAGCCAACATGGATTTGAATCTCATGATTGCAGCGGGGGAATGTGCTATTAAAGTACATGGAAGATCTCTCTGGATGGATGAAGTAGGAGAAATAAGGATGAGCGGGATTATCGTGGATCTTGAGACACCTTTCGATCCAAAAGCTGTGGATGCCCCTCAACGCAAGGCTTTTATGGACCAGATGAGCTCAGTCTTACACAAATTTCACCGCAAAGGAATTGTTCATGGTGACAAGGAATTGTTCATGGTGATATTAAGCCTGCTAACTGTCTGCTCTGCACGGTTAGCTGGCCCCGCCTGTGTGATTTCAGTGAAGCGATGGGAGTAGACAAAGATTCTAGCAACTGGAGTGGATTGACGACAGCAAATTATATATCGCCCCACCGGACGCGGAACTGACCTAATGGTCCTAATCCTCCTCCAACAATTGAAGATGATCTCCATAGCCTTGGACTATGTCTGTGGAAACTCTACACAGGGAAAACGTCCTTTGAGGACTAGAAGGAGGATGATATCATGCGGGCTCTTCAGCAGGGGAAGACAAGTTGATGTGGATGGGGTAGATGACAAGTATGTAAAACCTGTAACTTGCCACTATCTGAGATATGGTGGTGCAAAGATCTAGTTACCTTGCTGTGGATCTATTTAGGAAAGATATCTATCCTGTTGCTTAAGGGAAGTGGTTTTTGACAAACAAAGTCTGATTAGAACATGTCTGTATGGGTGATATGATAGTGGATATACCCACCAAAAGCTCTCTCTAGGACAGCTATTGGAAATGCGTTAGAGACTTAGGCCCGGGTTTGGTGAATATCCTATAGGATGGCGGTAATCTATCTGCTCATACCTATTTATTTACCCACAGGTATTTGCCTCATGTGGTTTTCTGTAAGATTTTCGTCCGAGTCTTAATTCCCTAATTTTAGCTAGTTAGTTGAAGAGTCTGCTCACTAGATGTTCAGCAAGCTATCTGTGTACGGGGTATGTGGTACGGAGCAACTCATTCAAGGGGTTCGTGTTCATAAGGCTTAGAATGCCTATTTTTAACAATCTCGGGGCAGTCCACTTCCTTGTCACTCCCCGGGCAATAGTTCTTCCATAGGGCCACCTTTCCAAGGAACTAACTAGTTACCCTAAGGCACCTGTTGCTTGCCCGAGTCTCCTGTCCGCCTGCTGCCTGCTGCATCGCCGACTCTCCTTCACCCACGCATCTCTCGCTCTCACTCCCCATCTTTTTCTAGATTCATTGTCTGTACGGAGTTGCTCCATACCTATCCGAGTTTTATTGATCTTTCCTATCTAGCCATGTCGAGCGCCGTCTCCACTGCGGCTCACCATCTGGTGAAGAGGGCTGTATCCGAGATGCCGCGAGCGATCCGGATGGTCCGCCAGCCCAACAGCCCTAGCGGCGATACCGACGGCGACGGAAAGCCCCAGGGATCTCCCATGGCTCTGTTCATACTGGCGACGACGACGTTTGCTTTCCTACTTGTCCTAGGCATTGTAAGTGGCTCCATACAAACATAACCGGTTCGTCCCAGTGAAAGCTTAGTCGCTGACGGACGGTCGTCTCAGATCAGCTACACACTTGGTATGATCGTGCCCACTCTGGCTATCGTCGAAGATCCGCAACCCGCAGCGTACGTCTCGATTGACAGCGTGGATGACGATGGACGGCCGAAAACCCTTCCAGGAGCTGATTCCGAACACTTGGTTCAGAAAGGCCCCATAACCACAAAGATTAGGACTACCCTCAAACATCTCAGGGCTCGCGGGGGTTTCTGGGCCCCTTTCCGCGGAATGGCTGTCTTCCTGCTCTACGTCTTTTCGCGCTCAATCCTCGTCACCCTCTTCTCCTTTGGTGCTTCATATTCGCACCTCCTTACCCGCTCCTTGGCCACCATCGCAGCAGAAGTAGCACTCACTGCCATCAGCTTGACCTGGGTTCACACGGTCATCTCGGAGCCATCGGCCAACGCCCGACCGTTCTGGAGACGTATCCCCGCGTATCGCATCTGGAGAAAGGTCGTTCCCGCGGTTGCCCTTCAGTCAGTGGCGTCTCAGATCTGTTTCCTCATCCCCCTCTATCTCGGTATCGCCATTCACAGCATTCGCATGGACGACGAGTCCCTCGTGAAAATGCCACAGCTCAACAGGCCCACCGCCGGAACAGCAGCAGGCTCGATTGCTATCTTGCTGCTCACGCTTGCTTTGACTGTCCTGATTGAGATCCCGGCCACCGTCACCATGATCCGTGTTGCTGCTTCGGCGCTCTCGCCGGATGTTGACACCATCGTTCCCTTTGATCGTACGTTTAACGGAAAAATCGAGCCCGCCGTGCTGGGTGGGGGTTGTCTAGGATTGCTCGATGCATGGAAGAGTTTCACCTGGCCGTCGCGCGTCCGCCTCATGAAGCTTGTTGCCAAGTACTTTGCCATAACCATGGCCGTCGGTTTCGCGTTTGGTGCGATTCTCGCTGTAGAGATCGTCACCGTCGCAGGCGGAACCGTTGACAAAGTTTTCGACGGAAAGAACTAACTCATCATCTTTGTTCAACAGTTCCCGCACTGGCACATGCGCACATCCGCCCCTTTTCCCTACCTTTCGCACTATATATTTATATCCTTATCTTCCCTTTGTATCCAGTTACAACATGATGGCGCGGCTAAGTGGCCATTGAATTTTTTTTGGTCTTATTGTATTGATCCTGTCTTTTCCCCCCCCCTCCAGGATGGGCTCTTTTATCAGGCAGACAACGATGAAATAACGTGCGACTTGCAACCTTTGACTGTTCCTAAGTAAATATTTGCAGTGAAGACTGGCTCAACAGCCGCAGATAATCTAATTAACTGCTCTGTGCTTTGTATTCTCTTGGTGAATATCGTTTCCATCAACGGGCGGGACCATAGAACGCAGCTAGCGGCGGGCCGCCTTCCCGCTCATCCTTATAACTGAATGGTATTGACCTAACGTATTACTTCGCGGGTCGAAGCTGACTTCCCGTGGGCCATCGCATCTCGCAACCTCGTTTTCGCCCCATGCGCGTGTGAGCGGTTCACGTGGGGAGAAGGAGCCTGTTATTAAGAAGACCCCTCGTCCGCGACTCCCGCTGTTTTGTTTGCTTTGTTCGGCGCCACCGCCGCCGCCCGCCAGCAAAAAAATCCCAACCGCATCCCAATCCAATCCAATCCATCCCACCCCCGCATAGTTAAGAGTGAAATAATAATATCCAAAATTGCGGATCAATACTCATCCTATCTCGCCTGCATTTGAGTTTCCTCCTGCTCTTCTTTCTTTTCAGCAAACTTGTGAACTTTTTGTTTTTAACTGTCATTTCTCGCTCCGTTTCCCCAGAGCCATATAAGTAGTTCCATTTGCTGAGATTATTGTACCGAGCGAACGGCAACACCTCTTCGACCAGACTGATCCATCTTCAAACCTTCTCTGTCCCCTCCGGAAACGATCCCTCTTATATTAACCCTCCACGATCGAATAGAGAGGAAATGGCGGCATCAGCAGCAGCGGGCTTGCTGGGCCGCCAGCTCAAGCAGATGCAGACGGACAAGGATATTCCGGGAATAAGCTGCGGTCTGACGGACGAGAATAACATCTTCGAGTGGGAGGTCATGCTGATGATTTCTGATGAGTGCAAGTTCTACGGCGGTGCGTGCAGCACACAGAGCGTCCATGAATGAATCTCTCCTGTTAAGTCTGTTCGATGCTGACACGGGGGCGTCCAGGTGGCTTCTTCCGTGCCCGGCTGTCATTTCCTCCTGAATACCCGCATTTGCCTCCGAAAATGAAGTTTGAACCTCCTATCTTTCATCCAAATAGTGAGTTTCCTCCTTCTCCGCTGTGTTTTGCATTCATGCATGTGCGCGTGTGTGTGTGTACCGCCCCAGTAGAAAGTAACTTCTGATCTCAGACGGGAACTAACGAATCATGTTTCCTTGTTTGTCCTCAGTTTACCCCAACGGTGAAGTCTGCATCTCCATCCTCCACCCTCCCGAAGAGGACAAGTACGGTTACGAATCCGCCGCAGAGCGCTGGTCGCCCGTGCAGACGCCCGAGACGATCTTACTGTCGGTGATCAGCATGCTGAGCAGCCCGAACGATGAGAGCCCAGCTAATGTGGAGGCGGCAAGGCTATGGAGAGAGGATCCAAAGGAGTTCAAGAGGAGAGTGAGGCAATGCGTTAGGGAGAGCTTAGGAGAAGAGTAGTGCGACGTTGGAGAGATTGTGAAATGCTCTTTTCCTTGGGGACAATTGAAATGGGCAGAGACGAGACAGCCGATGGCTGTTTCTTTTATCATTACCATCATTATCTTTGCACTTTTGGAGGTTGTCTATTGCATTTATCTATGCAGTGTTAAATGCCATCGTCAATCATTTCGTCTTGACCGGCTTCTATAGAGCCATAGGCGCTTTCAGCACGGCAAACCATCAGCGAAAGTAGACAATCCAAACCACAATGAAACCAAAGTCAGATATCGGCGGTCGAGGAAGTCCGGCTTTGCATGTCGCAGGCGCATAGAGTGCTTGTCCCGATGCATCTGGCCCGTTGAACAAGCTTGAGCTTCTGCCGCAGGATCTCCGAAAAGTCACTCCTGCCCGTATCATTCTCTTTCAAGGGATAAATATCATTCTCTCACTTTCTCTCCAGTGCTGTAGGGTAAGATCTTAACGGCCTAGGCACATTTGACACATCATCTGACCTGGAGACAGATAACGTTGTTTAACTATCAAGAAGCTGAGATTCACCAAGCATGCTTCAGCTAGAGTGAGCGGCTAAATATCATATGACGACCAGTCAAAACATCCGCCAGGGCCCCAAGGGATTTCCACCCCTTCCTCAATTTCCTTTTTTTTTTTTTCTTGAAAGGCTCACCCAAGTTATAATAGTTAATAGTAAGTTGTTATTTGCATTTATACTGGACTGTGGGAGGAACCACCTCATTATTACAAAGTTCAGGCCCATCCAAACCCATGGTATAATATGAAGTCCCATTTCAAAATATGTTGCACGGCGTTTAAAGGATAAAACACGGTTCTGGTATCTCATAAGCCATTCGTGATTAAAAAAGAATTAATAAGAAAGAATAAAGAATAACACCAGCCAAATTTCGCCAGTGAGGGTGAAAAGAAAACAAAGCATGCTACGCTCGTCTCGCCAACTTCCCATACAAGACAACAAGTGGCATTAGGTGGTAAGTGTACCTATTCTTTTTATTTTTTATTTTTTTTATTTTTTTGTATTATTGTTGTCATTTTTTCTCTCTTCGCTTTGGGTCCGATTACATGGCGAGAAGAGCGATGAGACCAAGAGCTCCAGCGACGCCAGGTGCAGCAGTTGTCATGACGCGACCCGCAGCTCCTTCAGCTGGCGTGGTTTGGCCTGGGGGAATTTCAGTCTCAGTAGGGCTCTCGGTGGTCGTTTCAGCGACCGAGCCAGAAGTGGGTGTGCCGGTGAGGCCGGACGTGGGACTGGCCGTGCCGTTGGAGTCGCTGACTTGTGTGTAGAGAGTGGTAGAGCCGACGGTGGTTTCAATAACCTCAGTGCCGGAAGTCACGGTGGAGACGATGGCAGAGGTAGTGTAGGCGGATGACTCCCCACCAGGGACAATGCCAGTCTAGTTAAGCTGTCAGCTCGGACATGTTTACGAATCTGGAACTGCATGGGACTTACAGTCTGGGTAGCAGATGGAGAGCCGCTGGTTTGAGTAGAATCAGTGCCATGGGTGCCAGTAGGAGTACTAGAGGCAGTCTCTGATGGAGTGGAATCGGGGCCATCAGTGCCAGTAGGAGTGCCAGTAGGAGTGCTAGTAGGAGTGCCAGTTGCAGTATCTGACGCAGTACCGGACGCAGACACTGAAGAAGAGTAGGTGTTAGAGTGCCGCGTTTTGCATGAGAGAAGGTATGCACCCACTGGAGCCGCCTTCGGAGGCACAAATCGCTTGGCCAACAGCAATGATTTTTGGAAGGTCCTCGCCCCCGCAAGCCTGCAGGGTACAGTCACGAAGACCAAAGGCAAAGTTCTGCTTGCTGCAGAGACACGCCTTGTCAGTGCTGTCGCAGCCGAGTTCGGAAGCTTTGTTCAACATATTGTTGATGCACATGCGCTATGACAATGGGGTCAGCATCGGCACCTCGGGTTAATGCACACGGCGCAGTGAACGGTGAGCTCTTACTCCGCATTCAGAAATGTCATCCAGGTTCTGGGCTGCACCAAACGCGGCACAGAGCGCGATGGAAAGAAGCGCGGTGGCCTTCATGCTGAATTTTATCAGGCTGGATTCTAGAGGGCTATGACCGGATATTCTGTAGGTTCAGTGACAGGAGAAAGGGAAAAGCTGAAGTTAACGGAGATGCAAGGTCTGTTCACCAGAAGATATTGGAGTGGAAGGAAGCAAATGATAAACAAGAGAAGAGGAAGGGAGAAAGACAAGAGGAAAAAGGGAGAAAAAAAAAAAAAGAGAGAGAGAGAGGAGCGTCAAAGAGGGAGGGAGGTCACACATATGGCATTGTGTAATTCCGCTAGCCCAGTTGCCATGGGGGAAAAGTTCTATCTAGTCAAGGTTGTGCCCGTGTGCTGTACAACATCGGTGTATGGAGGCACCCAGTGACAGCTCACCGAGCAAACAGCAATCATCAATTAGCTTTCAGAGGCTGATCCACTTGGTCAGTTTTCTACTTTGTGGCGAGAATGAATTGGGTATATGAGGTTGATCCCAGGCGCATGTCTTTTTTACCCTCGGTCCAAATGAGGCAAGCAAATAGACACAGAAATGGTTCACTATTTACTCAGACCTTCACAAAGATGGAGCTCTGTTTGCAGGTTTTCCATAAGTTATGTGAGGGGGCTAGACAAGTTCGACACCAGAAAAGACTGCTTGAGCAAAGATGCAGGTTGAAGCTGGGTAGGCACAGACAGCTCAACTGATCTGTGGGCTTAAAGAGTGGATGTCGATCGGATGCAGCTCCACCAGCAGTCATTGGCCAGCATGCAGTCCACTTCTAAACTCTTCCAAATTTTTTCCTCCCTTTCTTTCTTTTTTGCCTCCTCCTCGCACTTCGATAGGATTATCATCGAAAGGCGCCATGGGCAGATTACGGGGTATCATTCGGGCAGTCCCGGGATCCAGCAAGACATAGAGCCCCATTCCTGTTCGCTTCATCCAAGCAGGAATTGAGAGGCGTACTCTGGAGACGGTCCGTACAGGAGACCTACAAAGAAACGAGCTTTTGCCACAGTGGTGGAGCGTGAGAGACTGCTGCCATGGAACTGTTAATAAGCATGAACATGACATGAGATCATCAGCCAGGTTTTCCAAGGGACTCTCTCCAAGAGGAATGACGAACATACGAGAAGGCCCCCCTGTTGTCGCGATCAGCACGAGCCGCCGACCTCTGCTGCTCGACGCGTGAAATGAGAGCAGAGGGAAACAAAAAAGCAAAAAACAACTTCCGGCGGCAGGGTGAGATCATCGCGCGGGGGCTGGCTGGGGTGGGCAGCGCTAGGCCGAGCTTGGGTAGGGTATATTGCCACAGTATCTACCCAGCCACGAAGAATATCACAGCCACATGGCAGAATAGTGTTTCACCGCCCTCAAAAGCCACAGCGGATCATCTGAAATTCCGTCAATCGGATCAACGTTGTTCCCCACTCAACCTCTTTGGAAGCCCTTCTGATGGAGGACTTGTATGCTTGTCATTCACTAAGCTACCTAAAGGGGAATCTCGGCTAATCTATGTGGGTCACATGAGCGAGGTGCTGGTTGGATTACCTAACACCTTCAGAGCACCTATGAACAGGCTAAACGTCAGGTTCATGCGAGCGAAATTCCCCCCTCCTCACGCCTTTCGTAGGCGAGGAGACAGAATTGACTGATCTTGAGCAATGTCAGATTGGAAACTATCGACGCCGCGTCTACCCGTGTGGCTTCAGGCTACTAGACTGAATCCGGGGTTTGCTTCGGCCGTAGCGGGACCCGAAAGCCAAACCACCTTCTTTTTCGTCCCCAGCATACTGAGGAAAATCATGGAGAGACCCATTTCTACTGTTTTATGCATCCTTAGTGAGCGTCCCTCTGATTCTGCACTTATAATGGAAGCTCCGTGAAGCCATTATTTCCCGAGCTTTGCTCTTAGCGCGGGGTATCAAGATGGCATAGGTCGTGCGCAGTGCGGAGTCATTCTTCCGTCTCCCTCCATTTTATATATTTCCATCTGCTGCCCCTTTCCCTTCCGGAAAAGTAGAGCACATACATATTGATTCTCTCCATTGCCCTTTCCCGTTGCCCTTCAGCATGGTCCGCAGTCGACCCACCCGTCTCGCCCACATCGCCCCGATTGGGGTCGATCGCATGGGAGACATCGCAGATCTATCGGGCAAGGATTTTCTCCGCCTAGAGAATCTCGACGTGGATATACCCCCTGACCCAGAGGCCATTGCATGCACGAAGTCATCTGCCGACCAAGACCAGAATAACAGCTACCTGCCCTTTATCGGACAGCGTCATTTGCGCGAAATTGCTGCGCGCCACGTCTCGTCGATATCCGGCGTGCAGTACTCCGGGGAGGAAAACTGCATCATCTCCTCCGGGGGACTATCCGGCATCTTGAACGTCCTTCTTGCTACCGTTGAAGTTGGCGATGAGGTCATCGTCACTGACCCAACTTACGCTGGTCTCATCAACCGTGTCCGTCTCGCAGGTGTGTCCCCAAGTTTGTCCCCTTCAAGTTCACCCCGGGGAACGAATGGACATTGGACAGGGAGGCATTGAGGGAAGCCGTCCAGGGAAAAGAGAGCAAGGTCCGAGCAATGCTTCTGATGTCCCCATCGATGCCATCTGGAGGCTATTTCAATGCCGAAGACTGGGACCTCATATCCAAACTCTGTGTAGAGGCAGATCTCCTTCTCATCCTTGACACTGCCATGGAGCGGCTCCTGTTTGATAAGAGACCGCTTATCCACCCTGCTGGGCTACCAGGCATGGCTAATCGCACAATTATCGTCGGCGCCGCCTCCAAGGAACTTCGCATGATCGGCTGGCGGGCAGGGTGGATTGTTGCGCCCAAGGAATACATACCTGATCTCATCGCCGTCTCGCTCGCGAACGTAGTCGTTCCCGTGGGAATTGCGTAGTCTGCGGCCGCCGTTGCCCTCGAGAGATCATGGACTACCATGCAGCCTTACGTGGACGAGCTGCAAGCCCGCCGGGATTTGATCTTAGAGGAGCTACACGGCCTGCCTGTGGGCGTACCTGCAGGAGGATGGTCACTTCTTCTACGAGTATCAGACTACGGAATTGACGGAGAAACGGCGTCCAAAAGGCTGCTGGAGGAAGGCGTATGTGCGACGGGCATGGCAGGCTGGGGAAACGAACACGGGAAAGAAAATACGTACGCTTTGTTTTTTCAAATGAGCCATGTGAGAGATTAGTGGGTTTAGGAAGCAAAGTGAGGGCCGCTCTGAGGATATGAGACTCCATTTCACGTAACGAGGAGGCTACGTATCATTGCATGCTTCAATGACCCCAAACCTCCCTTCACGCATACGGATGCAAGTCTTCCCTTAAATCCTTACGCCTGAGGGGGACCGAAGGATCACATTGGCACCCGCTACTGCACCTCGTAGCCGGTCGATCGATAACCATAAGTCGGCGTTCGGCCTCCCGGTTGATCGGAAAACCCCGCCCCCCAGCAATGCAAATCGCTAGTGGCAGTCCCCCGGATAACATATCTGATAATAAACTATGATAGCCTTTCACTGAGCCCATAGAGTTTGTTATACAAACCCTTCAAAACACTTAAGTCAGCGACCCTCACACATCCGCAGTAGGCATTCAGTGTATCCGTTGAAATGTCACCTATCCATAACGGGTTGCTTTATTGGTGAGCAGATCTCCATAAGGTGGAAGTGGCCGCGCTCCTTTTTAAACAAAACAGAAACATAGATACCATTACCTAGGTGAATAAGAACATTTATGAAACTGGGAATGGAACCACCCGTTCTGGGAGCCCTACCTGTCTATGAAGTACAGTCATAAATCCAGTAACTGTTTGGTTTGCCGTGAACAAGAGCGCTCTTTGAGACTTCAAGCCTCACTGTGTGATTTTTCCTCTTGGTTCGGGCGCTAGTTCCACCGTCACTCAAACGCTGCGGCAGCTCAGCATTTGAGCTCACAGCAGAGATGATGACTTCTGCGTTTCTTTCTGATGTCGCTAAAGACTAATCACCATGTTTCCAAGGCAAACAATGATGGCTTCCATTCTGCCTCAACCCCACCAGGGCTACTAGAATTACTCGCTGTAGAGCCGCGAACAGCAGCAGCGCTATCCGCCGTGGATGACCCGGTGGAAGGACGGATGGCAGCGTTGGCCAAAAGAACTGCCAAGTGTGCTGGTTAGGTTACAGCAAAATGCCAAAAAGTTAGGCGACAGTTCAATATTTGCTGGAGGAAAACTCACTCTCTTGGGAATGGACACATCCGTACAGTTCTTGCTGATACGAGTGTAGGTCGCAGGCTCGGAGCGTATTCTCGCTTCCACATTGCCCGGGTATGTTTCTTCGCTGACCTTATAAGGCAAAGGCACCGTGAAAGCGAGCTCGACAGTCCATCCAGCCTTGGTGATATTTACGGGAATGCACATGTTGAAGCTTCCACGTAGCTACACTAATTTGTTCGCTTACACCTCTTGAGGAACACTTCTGCCACGACCGGTGTCATTAGCCTGGAGTGAGACACTATTAAGGCATTATTTAAATTTTTCTCTTCCTAGATCTCGTAGCTCGGTATAGAGATCCGCTCTTTTCGTAGCATATTGCAATTCGGTCCTCATACCCCCCTCACGTAACTCTGCACTTGATAGCTGTTGAGCAGGGCCTTCCAGGGTTTCGCAGTTCCAGTATTTTCCAGTTCCGTCGAATAGTTGCTTTTGGCATTTATGGTCATTAGCTATAGAAGGCATCCCGAAGGGCTGATTCCCGGAAGCATTCTCCATTTGTAAATAATACCATGAGGGGATGAAAGAGACGTCGTCTGTCGGTCAGGGAAGCTTTTGAGTTTGCTCGCGGGACGATCCTTGGCATCTTTTCGATAATAGTAAGTAATTGGTTAAAGCTCCAGGCCATTCCAAGCATGCGGGCATCAAGCATTGAGAAACGTCAAGTGAGCATACTCAAAAGCCATGGATACCGCCCTTCTCACGCCCCTATCTACCATCGAGCAGCGCCTCAACGCCCTCATATCCTCAATAACTTCGTCTCCAACAGCTGCAGGTGCACTCGCGGCGACCCTCGCCCTTCTCGAAGCAGACGACAGCCTGACCTCTGCACTAGAAACGCTGCGAACGCATCAAGCGAATTATGCCAAAATACTCCAGTTGCGCGCTGAGGCGAAGAGCCTGGAAGAGAGAGTGCGCGACATAGTCCGTGAAGTCGGCAAGATGGGCGATGACATCTCGGCACTGGCCGGCGACGACGACAAGGAAAGTGAGAAGGACGACGAGCCCGTTACCGGCCCACGCAAAGACGGAGAAGACACCACGATGGGCGGGACAGCTACAAATGCCGAGCAAGAATCGCTGCGACGACGCAAGAACGAGATTGACTACAAACTCCTCCTCGATTTCGCCCGCCGGATCAGCAAATATAACACTCAAGCCGCGTCCGCGGCAACATCAGGCGCGATTCCTACGAAACGCTCTCTGCAGAATGTGCAGGAACAAGGTCGAGAGCAAGAGCAAAGTCTGCAAAAAGGGACAGATGCCAGCGGCATGGCAGAGATCACTAAACAGTCTACGATTCAGTTGGATGCTTCGGCAGAGTCTATCCGCCAAGCTTGGCTCTTACCGTACCCGAATGATGATAAGATACGTATGGGAGTGATGGGAAAACTGCAAGCTGCTGTTGCAGCCAGCGGTGGACGCGATGATCGGGATATAGAGAGGGAGGTGGAGAAAATAATGCTTGCGGTGGAAGGTGGCACTGAGCAGACGGAGCAGACGTCCATAGAAAAGGAGAATGCAGGGGGGGGTTCCGGCCAAGCAGTCCAGACGAGTGGACAGACTGCTGCTGGAGGAATTGGTGCCGCATCTATCGGAAGCGTTGCTAAGCCGCCAGCAGCTCCGAAGGCGAAACTGGATTTGGATTTGTATGACCCGGATGAAGATGAAGGTTAAAAGTATGAGAGCTTTTGATTTCTATGGATCTCTATCATAGATTTCAGATGACTTGATGCAAAGTCTAAAAAGTGCAACAAAGCAATAATCTATTCCCCAAAAGGTATACCAATCAAATCTAGTTCTGTCGCGAAGTAGTAAGAGGCTGGGTCTAATTACTCATGGACAAAGACAGATGACGATGCAGTATGCAGACCAATATAGAAAATTTCCAAAAAACAACAGACAGATATCAATGACACAGAATCCACCCAAAGACACATCCAGAACTGATCAGAGCCATTAAATCATAGTCGATCATTTTTACAAATTATGCACAGATGAATTGGCAGTAAGCTTGCGCAGCTTCTTACCCCAGAAATAGAACGGGATAGCACATGCACACCAGAAAATCATGAGGCTCATGTTGAGCATGATGGCGGGAATGAAGCCATTCCTCTCGGTCCACGGAGTGAGAAACTTGCCAACTCCATAACCCCACAAATTCTTATTCACAGTGATGGTGACAAAGATGCTGCCAGCAACAGGTTTGTAGCTGTCAATGGCGTAGGTACTGATAATGGCGGGAATGGCAGCGACTTGGATACCTGCCCCTGTGTACCCAATGATGACGATTGCCTAGAGAACTAAACATCAGCTATAAACGCAATGTGAAGAAGGAAAGAAGAACATACCTTCCAGTCCCATTTATATTGATATCCCAGGGCCACCACCAGGTTGCAAACAAGGACGACAACCACATATGGGATCATGGCAGGCAGTCTCATCTCTGGCTCTCGGATACCCCGATTCTTCCTGGTCGCACGCATAGAAACCCAGTCGGATAAGGGACCGTTCGTAAATAGTCCGATCAAAGCCCCAATCAAAATTGCCCAGTTGGTAAACCCAACAGCCTGCGCAGAAAAGTTGTATGGCGGTGCCGCGAAGTTTTGACTTTGGGTCAGGTTGACAGTGAGGAATACCGAGGCAGACCAGGAGACAATGAAGGCCGCAAGTTGAACAATGGGAAAAGCATGCAGTTTCCACGGGACCCAGAAATCAACAAGCATACTCTTGAAGGGGCTCTCGTTTTTCTGCCAGAGCTTAAACTGCTGCTTTGAAGGGGAGCCTGTCGCCAAGTAGAGATCTTCTTGGGTCTCAACTCGACGGGCCTCTCCCTTTTCTATTTCCTCCTCGGAGGCTGCCTCAACAAGGGTAGCAGAAGGTTCTTGGGTTTGTTTCTCTGAGACTCCAATGCTACCCGAAGACTTGGTATCGACCACTCCTTCGTCGGGTTGAGCCCGATGCCATTTGGTCTCGGGGAATAAGAAGATCAAAGCCACATTCACTGCGCCGAGGAGAGCAACGTTTAGCCACCAGAAATGTCTCCAGTGAAGGTAATCAGTCATAGGTCCTGCAATGATAGGACCAATCTATACGGCAGTCAGCATCCGATTGGTAGTTGAAAACCACACGAGGGGCACCTTACCATCAAAGCTCCAAAGTAAGTCGTAAAGTAAAGAGTGTTGTATGCTCCGCGCTCGTGCAAAAACATCACATCAGCAATGATTTGAGGTTGAGCCGTCTGTAGACTGCTGTCAGCGGCAGCGGATTTGGAAAGTTGGGGACAGCTTTGCGCAATCTCACCTCCGCCGGCCCAGCTCCAAAGCCATTGAGGACACAGGCTCCCATAAAGCTTCCATATGATGTCGCGACACCACGCCAGATATTAGAAATCAAGCATATCAATGTGGAAAAGAGAAGTACGGGGCGACGACCGAATGTAGTCATAATTGGCACCCTATATCATGATTATAAACAAACAAGATCGGCCAGCAGTTTGGGAAAACAAGCTGACCAGAAGAAATTACTAAAGCCGAGGACTAAGATGCAAACGCCCGTAAATTGAACGGCCCCTGACAGGTCGCAGTGGAATTCTTCCATTAACTTCGGAAACATAGGAGGCAGCGCCAAGGGGCCAACTGCCTGTGCGAAGGACATTATAGTCGTTAATGTCATGGTTGTCCCCTTCCAGAAAGGAGTCCAGTTCTAAAAGCGTGCAGAGTTAGTTTTTAGGTGAATAGGGGAATCGGTCCGAGTAGGCTGACGTACCAACGGATCATGAGGATCGTTTGAGGGCTGAGGCACTAGGACATTCTTCGAGGATTTCACAAAATGGTGAGTGCCAGTGTCGGTCATAATCTCAGTGCCAGGATATATCTTTGTTCCCAACTCATCTTCGAGCCTACAGCGGTGGTTAGAGAAAAGAAGATTTTAATCCTCCGCAAGCACTGACCTATGAAGAGTCTACAGTGAGACAATGTTAGCTTGCGGTTTCTTACAGCACGGACTCGCTCCATGATGGCGCAGGACTAACCTCTACCTCGTGGTTCATCTCCATTTTGACAATGTAGAGATCGAGGTCTCGCTATTTGATTTATTCCACTCTTTCTCTCCCAATGCCAGCAGTACCTCCGATGCGGATGGCAGATGAAGCTACTATACTTCTCGAGTGCTGCAAGGGACAATTGACCAAGGAGAGAATCTAGGACGGAAACGAAAGTCTAGCTTTCATTCTAGGCAAAAGCAGCAATCATATCCAGATATATGGTATGGGCAGATCACGGTTCTGTGGTCTTTATAATGTCGTTTTCTGGTTCCTAGCCAAGGCGCCCATAGAGACGAGATGAGCGGAATTAATCAGCCAAACTAGTGAGCATCCATCAGACGCTGCTTGTAAGTTGGGTATCTTCTTGGATGGAGCGCGAAGGTCCGGCGTAACTAGACAGTTCAAAAAGGAACTTTGACGATGGAATCAGGCCCGAGAGCCGTCACCAGCTTACCCCAGACTCGGTAGCGGGTACCATCAAACTGTGCTCCACAACCCCCAGGCCAACCAGCAACCAGTGTTTCTGGTATTATCAAGCCCCAGCAGCGTGGAAGCTTTTTGTTCCCATTGACTCCACCTATCCATCAGGCCTGCCAGTCGGCCGAGAATGCCTCTGGTAGTCGACTAGGCCTTTAGACGGGTATTCTGTCAAAGGGCAAGGTGCGGACTGGCTTTGGGACGGATAATACTCGAATCCTGGTATCTTGCAAGGGAGATATCAATGAAGAGCCAGGAAAAGGCGAATGGAGGGGTTCTACTTTGATTGTATGCAAGGAACGCGCATACAACTTGGTGATTATGCTGGCCCTGGCATGGTTGACTCCGTAACCATCGGGCCAAATAGCGGGACAAGCCTTTTGTCTGGTCCATATTGGTCAAGCGTCGGCCCATGTGGGACGGCACACAAACCAATGCCGCGCTTCACTGCCGACACCCTGAAGGACTCTGGGCTGGAATTTCTCGTCAAAAAATTTTCCCCCTCTTTTGGCAATAGTCATTAATGTTCAGAGTTGAGTTGGTCATGGACGCTTCACGGCGAGCAGCTAGTTTCTGCTCACGCGGAATTGGACCTGCAGCGAAGGCCAGGCATGTTGTTTGCCCA